TAACATTTCAGGAACTTTGTTAGAAATGCCATTAAATGAGACAGTAGCCTGGGATTTTCAGAAAAAAAAAATATTTTCAGGAGGTAAAGTTTGTTTCTAATTTCTCTTTATGTTGTTTCAGATTTCTAGAACAACAACAACAAAAAAACAACCTAAAATTCCCCAGCAACAATTTATTTCATGCTGATAGCAGCAGGAAACTCACTTAATGCTATCTGTCCTATGTTGAACAATTGTCCCAAACGTATTATTAAATGTAAATACAAATGAACCATTCTGTGAGCTCTGAGGGAAACAAAGCACTGTTAATGAGACAGCGTTGAGCACTGTTAAAGAGGGGCTTTTTTTCACGAAACACGATTTCCCTTCCGAGTTAAGCTTCAAGGCTCCAGCAATCTGCAGTGGCTTGGGCCAAAAGCTGCACCAGAAGGGAAGGTCATTGACTGATTGTTTTACTTGCAATTGAAGTGGCTAAAAAATCTGCAAGACACTGCTAGCCCAGGAAGGGAAGGGAGGTGTAGTTTTTGGCAGAAGGGTACAGCCGAACAGCTTCGGGCATTGTTAATCTGACTGAATCACATCAAGCCCTCAGCCAAATGGACAAAGATCAGACCACAGACCCTATTCATCACGTCAGCACAATCTCTGGTGAAAGAACACAGTAACTTCACCCTCCTGTCCACTCCATAACCTAATCCACTTTAGATTGCTGGAAAGCAAGTCTATGAAAGGCCTTGACACGGGGATCGAGAACGTACTGAAGGATGTGGGACACGGCTCTTCCAGAGCCAGGGAAGGAACGGGTGCTCCGAACGCACTGGACACCCACAAGCCCGCAGGCAGCCGAGCTGCCAGAGCACTGCGGCGGCCGCGCTGAGCTGAGCCCGGCCCCGCGGCCCCGGCCCTCAGCCCCGGTCCGCGGCCTCAGCCCCGCGGCCCCGGCCCTCAGCCCCGCCCCGCCCCGCCCCGCCCCGCCGCCCCTCGGCCCCTCCCGGCACGCTCAGGCGCGTGCGCAAGCCCTCGCGAGAGCGCAAAGGCGCGTGACAAGGCCACATGTCAACCCAAATCTCGCGAGCATTCGAGCCACTGCTTCCGGGTGCGATGTCTCGCGAGAGGCGGCGAGCCTGGGGGTGCAGCGGCTTGTTTGGCCGTGCGTCTCGCGAGAGCCCCTGCGCGGTGCGCTGGGCGCCCCCGTGCCGTGCGCGGAGCCGCGAGCGGCCGGGCGCCATTTCGGGAGCAGCCGCGGAGCCATAGACGGGGCCAGACCGGCACCGGGACCGACTCACGGCCGCGTCGCCCCTCGCCGCCCCTCGCCGCCCGCTCCCTGGGGCTGCCTGAGCGCCGCCGTCCATTTAAGATTCAGACGCCTGGAGAAGGTGCTCAAGCCCTCGGGCCCGTTCCCCACCGCCAGGGCAGTAACGCCGGAGCCGCCGCTGCCGGACCTCGGGGCCCTAGCGAGGATCGCACTGCCCGCGGCGCAGGTAACTGCGGGTGGGCCCCGGGCCCCGCCGCCGGGCGAGCGGCGGCCTGGTCTGCGGGGTGCCGCGGCCTGGGCGTCTGCGCCCCTCCCCCTGCTATGGCCGCCCCGGCCCTGCTCGCGGGGCCGCTCCGCGCCTCAGCGTCGCCGAAGCCCCCGGTGATCCCCGCCCCGCGGCCCGGCCCCGTGCGCTTTGGTTCTTCCCGTGGCCACGTCACGGGCATGCCCGACTGCTCTCGGCGTGGTGCGGCCCCACCCCGGCTCCCCCGCTCCAGCTCCCCCTCTCTTGCCGCGATGGCGCTGTGCGGAGGACGCGGCGTGAGCAGCTGCGGGGCCGTTCGCGCACGGAGACGGGGCGGAGGTGGGGAGCGGCGGCCGCCGCGGGCGGGCTCGCCATGAAGGCTTTTGGGAGAAGCGAGGTGGGAGGGCGGTCGCGGCGGGACAGGCAGCGCTAGGCATCATTGTTTCTAGGAAACCGAATTTGCTCCGCTCGATCGTGTCAGGAGCATGTGGGAATTGAGGGAATTGGGAATTGCAGGCGGTGACCTGCCCGCAGACGTATGGGTCCTGCTGAGAGGCTAGCTCCCCTTCTGAGGCGTCGGAGTCCTCTTAAAGTTTCCTGATGCTCTTCCAGGACACTACATATAATACGTGTCGAATTGTCATTCGTTGGATTTCTAAAACAAATAATTTTGAAAACCGTACCCTTTAAAACTCCTTTTTTTGTAATATAATACACCAGAAAGAGAGTGATTTCTTTCAAAATAATGACTAGTTCAGTTGCAGTAAATTTCATGTCCCTTTACGTTTTCTGTAGATCCACAAAGTTTGAAGTGTAGTTCATTCCTTTTTTATTTTGATCTTTTGGCGTGGGGTTTTTTTTGTTGGTGTTTTTTGTTTGCTTGTTTGGGAGGTTTTGGTTTGATTTTTTTTTCCCCTTAACAATCAAGTTAGTCATACATAGCTTTTTTGAGAAAGCTGGAAGGTTTTTAGGAAAATTTTTTTGAGCATTCGTGTTTAATGAAAGATACTTGAAAATCTGTCAGGACTTTCTAGTAATTTGAGATTATTTAGGGCTGTTATTTGTGGCTTTAAAAAAATTCTTTCTACTTGGTGTGTAGCATCATAGTATGCATCGCAGGGCTGATAACAGGGCTGTCATGCGTGTAGAGAGAAGGTACTCTGATAACATGGTGTCGTCCCAGTGGACGTGTTTTGTAAAGAGTACAAAGGGTACCGATTGCTGGGGTGAGGCCAAAGGTCCATGCAGCTCAGGAGATTCAATGTTGGTGGCCAGCAGTAAATGCCAAAAAAAGAACAGAGCAATGACTCATGGATGGTTCTCTCTGTGTGCGCTTAGTTGTAGCTTAATTGTAGTTCAGAGTCACGAGACATGCCTTTGTTTAATGAAAACCTTTTTCTTTAAACTTTTAAGGTTGATTTTTTTTTAAACATTGCATGTACTTCTTTGTTAGATCCACAGTGCCCTTCAACAGTGAATTCAGTGGCTAAATGCTTTGTGAATAAGGACCATTGTTTTGAATCCACTGGATGATAGTTCATTCACTCATTATTTGGGACAGTGCAGTAATAGTCATTCCCCCTGCATTTTCCCATGCCATTCAAGATTTGATGGTTCCTATGATGGCAGCCCTTCTTCAGAGTGAAGAATTCCTCGCCAAGTGTAGCTCGATATGTTGGCTAAATTATACATCTGGAAATGTAATTTTGGGTGGGAGTTGTCACCAATGGGAATTTTCTTGTAGAATCCTAGGTGTGCCTTTTTCTTGACCTTAATCACCCTGATGTACTATTTATACTACATACCGGTAGAACGGCTGTGAATTAAATCACATGTATGTCTGTAGATGGCTTGAAAAGCTGACTATAAATACTGTAGTAAAAAGTAAAATTGAGCCATTGTACTTAAAGGAAGGACAGTCATATCTGTAAGTGATAGCACTATAGCCTAATAGGTAATAATTTGAAAATTGGGTTAGTGTGCCTCAGTTAAGTATTGAGTGTGAACTTCCAGTGTTTGGTCGTGCTTGAGGATGGTGTTTTATTCTAGAATGTATCTGGGCCAGGGTCAGATGTGCTGCAGCTCTGGTAAAACATTCTCAATTACACCATTATAAGTGACCGGTGTAAAGGGTCTTGACGTGTTGGAGCATTTTTGTTATTCTGCCGAAGCCTTGGGACGGTACAGTTCTACTGCCTGTAGACAAGGTGCAAGAACTAACCTGTATAATTAAAAATATGTTTTATTGTGCACACACAAATCTTCAGTGTTGGCTGTCAAACTCGGATCTAGAGGACTGGCCATTCTGGAGCTTAAGAAAGAAAAAAAAGAGAAACTTCCACTAAGAGATTTGAGGAAGTTGAATATCTGAAGTTTAATGCCAAGAGTCTTGAGAGGTACTTAATAGCATACCTGCATAGGGTGAGGAAGTCAAAGTCATTCAGAGTATAGTGAACATAAAATTATATTAAGGGGTTGAAGTTGGAAAGTAAGAGGAAATTGGAAAATAAGAGGACACCAACCCAAAATGGCTGTGGTGTCAAATGTTACCTGGTGTGATGGATGTTTTTGTTTTGAGATGTGAAGTTCCAGACTGGATGGACTTCGTGTATGCTTTAGTAGCTCTTAGCGCTGGAATCATAACTGTTTTCCTGTGACCCCTGTTATGGAGGAGGCTGCGTTTCTTAAAGTACCATGGTGTCCACATGCTGAGATTGGTAAATGATGGAGGCAAAGGCTAGAAGCTGTGAACCGGTTTACCTGATTGTTCATTGTCCTTTGCTGAAGCTCTAGCACTTCTCGAGATGGCCACCAGAGGTGTGTTTCTGTATCATAAATAGGCTGTGCTCTTTGTTTTGAAAGAAATTCATGCAATGTCTCTGGGTTTCCTCTGGCTTATCACATTTTGTTGTTTGCAGCTGTAATTACTTTGCACACATTCGTTACCATCTCATTGGGCAAAACTTCATTCCAATTTTTGTTGGAAATACTTACCGAATTTGTAAATGTTTAGTGAATTTGAGCCAGTGCAGTGATGACCTCTTAAACAAAAGCTGTTGGAATATAAAGCACAAGGATGTTTTCCAACTCAGGTGGAATTGCTTTTCTTTCAGGTGTCCTGAAAAATGGCTGATGATATTGATATTGAAGCAATGCTTGAAGCTCCTTACAAAAAGGTGAGAAAAAATATGCCAGAGAGGTCCTCTTTACCTTAATTTAGCATTATTCATGAAACTACTGCTGAACTGTAGACTAACATCCCTGGAGCCCTCATGATTTATCTTATTGGACATACATTACATGTAACTTTCAAGTTAATATATACTGTTAATGTAATTATATTGTGCAGTAGTTTCACTTCAGCGTGATGAATAAATGCCCATCTATCTCTCTTTGTAGACTTGCCTAACGATATCTCACCTCTACTCCCATGAATTCACCTTTGATTCCAGTGTGAACTGTCAATCATAAGGTAGTAATTGAGTGACGTATCGCTGTACCGTGGTCCCCTAGGTTAAAAAAGAAAAAACCACCAAACAATCAAAACAAAACAAATCCACCCAAAAACCAACTAAACAAAACCAAAACAAACCCCAGAAACCAAAATTCTAAAACCTTTTCTCCAAAATTGTGAAGTCCAGTTTGCTATAGCAACAAGGTGAATGCAGTGGTTTGGGAAAACAGCGGGGCTCCAAGAATAACCTTTTCACCAGTCCCATGGCAAGTAAATATTTGAACAATCTGCTCAGTGTGAGAAGAGTGGGACTTGCTTTTAATGCAGAAGGCTGCTGGCGATTAATCTTTCAACAGGGCAGATGAAAATCAGTTGCTGAGTGAACGAATTTACAGAAATTCTTGGATCCCTGAATAGAATGTTCTTAGCAAGTAAAAGACAGTATCACAGTCTGCGGTATCATTCTAAAAGAAACTCTTGTGTTCTTCTTTCCTAGTTGTTTAATTAGGAAATGTCGATTTTTCTGTGAAATTTTTATCAATTAGCTTAGTGATGTCCTTCACTTAAACCAGCAGCAAATGAATACTGTCTTTTTTTGTTTTCCACCAGATGGTGTTGAAGTGTTGACAGACTGCATGCTTTAGCACTGATTTTGAAAGAAATGTATATAAGTTTAAGTCGCCTAGGAATTGTACTTTTCATGTAACCAATGTGATTAAACTGTAAAGCCAGTATATAAGTTACATAGCAGCTGTTGTCAGTCTGTTCTGAAGTGTGTATTACAACCATGTAATGAATTTTGGATGAGCATTTGTAAGTTTTAAGTGGTATATTTAGTTAATGTAATATTTAGCAGTTACATTTACATCTTGAAGAGAAATTTGTGAACTGTTGTGTTAAAATTCTTGTGTCCTGGCTTAACATGGATATTTTCCATGTAAACAGGTATGGAAATAGGGGATGTTTAGGCTGGACTGGTGGATTATTGATGGCTTTCTTGGGAGTCGACGTTACTAAAGCAGTGTGAATCCCTGTTTGCTTCAGGGCGAGATGTGTGACAGAGGTGACATCAAGCTCTTACAACCCTTCAGCGAAAACGAGTGAAGATCTCGGCAATGGCATCGGTCACAGGAAATCGATAGTGGCTGGCTGCTAGTGTAGCCACGGGGCTTAGGCAGCGATATAGCCTTGGTACTAATCAGAGGGGCTCGCAAACACCTCAGACTTCCTCTTAAATTTTATAGAAATAACATTTAGTTATTTGAGTGATGAATTCTACAGGATAACTTGCTCTCTAAACCATGTATGGAAGTATCTACAATTTAATACACACTTTTAAATTATATAAGTCTTGTATTTTGTAATTGTATGACTTAAATTTAAGCAGCAAAGTGGTTAAACATGCCTACCTAAATTTTCTAAAGCTTTCCACATTAAACTGTAAACAAGTAATTTAGTATTAAATTTTTTTTTTTATTTTCTTATTCCTATTCCCATTACCCTTTGACCACTTGAAATATTTCCGCTTCGTCCTCACGATGTTCTTCTATCAACCCTGCTTAGGATGAGAACAAATTGAGCAGTGCCAACGGCCATGAAGAACGCAGCAAGAAGTAAGTATTTTCTCAGTTCTCTGCATTTGAGTAGAGGCTGCTGATTTTTGTGGACTTGTGAATCCATGTCAGTGGTGTTTAAGGAAATAATTTGAAAAAACTTGGAATTGGCAGTTGCAGCAATTTGGAAATTTTCTTTTGTTTACAAATGTAGTTAATACCCTTTGCAACGGATGTAGTCAAAATTGCAGAAACATTCACCTAGCATCAGGTAAAAATACCAGCTTAGTATGTTCAGCATATTTAAATTCTTTTTTTTACTTTAACTATGCAACAGATTTTGCATTTAAGAAATTATTTGTTGTAGAATTGTGGTTTGGAGCAGGGGAAAGCACTTAAAGAAACCAGTGCTTTCTTGAAAAGGTTTAGAGTGTTGAATTGCCTTGCTCCACATCCCTGCCCTTTGAAAACATCTAAATTTATAATACAAGTTTTTTTACAAAACAAGAATACAAGCCCACCTTGCTCAGCAAGCATAATTCCAGGGTGTGAACACCTGCTGATACCCAAAAGGTGTGTAGTCTGTAAAATAAATTCCTTACCTTACAAACATCATTTGGTGAAGAGGTAATTGATGAAAAGAAAAAAAATTACAAAGTTGATAGTTTACAAAACAGTAAAAAGTTAGCTGTGTATTACAGAAATGCACTGAAGTTAGCATGTATGCTATTGTCATCTTCTGAAATCATACAGATGACATGCTTTTACTTGTGTTCTAAATAACAGTGGAAATAATTTTCATGCTAACTGCTTAGACCTCTAAAACCCATCAAAAGCAGTTGCTGTCAATATTTTTAAGCTCTAGAAGTTAATTTTGATACAGTTCTTGTTCCCCATAACCTTTAGATAACTATTTTGTTTGTAATGTGTGACAGTGTACTGTGTTGCTGAAGACAAAGGTGTATGCAGGGTTTGCAAGACTTCTTGCTTTGCTTTAAAAAAAAATAATTGTGTCCAAATGGTACTTTTTATCTACTTCAATTGGGCAAATACTGAAATAAGATTCAAACTGTAAGGAAAATCCACAGCGAACATCAGCAACTTTAAAAATAAATAACAATGTGCAACTTTCAGTAATTGTCAAATCATACTTAGATGTCCATTTTATTAATTGGAAGAAATAAGGATCTGCATTTTTACTAGATGTCTGTCCTGTAGGTCCAGCTCAGTTGTGATTTGAAGGCAGAGCATGGATCTGGACTGCTGGGAGTCCTTGCCTGCAAAGCAGGTTCCCCCTGTTGGATAGGGAATAGCTCCTGTCATTGGTGAAGAGTGGCTGCAGTTAGTAGTTACTGGTACTGGTTAGTATAGTGAGCTTCAGGGTGTGTTTTTCAGAGCTATTTTAACAGTGAGTGTTTTAGGGTTTACCTTGGGGAAACGTTGGTAAATTATGGATCCTAGAGGAGAGGGATGGTGTGTGCCTAACCATAACAAACTGCATTACAGCAGGAAGTGTGGTTAAGTGATTCTGATGACACCACACAGAAATAGAGAACTATCAAAAACTATGAAGCTTCTGAATATTGGGTTTTGATGCAGCAACTTCTCTGTCCATACAAAAATATTAAAGAAACTAATAAACTATGGCAGATAAGGAAAAAAAAATAGTGTTTAAAACATAATTGCAAAATGCTTGTCTTCAGAGATGAATACTAAGATACTTTGAGTGGGCCTTCCTAGGTGGAGATTGGAGAGCAAAAGCTATTAATAATTAGGTTCAGTAAGATGTGCCAGATGAGGGATGTTTTTACTTCAGAAATTGAAACTAACTAGAAGTCTTAGTTTATACATGGCCATAGAAAGCCACAGGGATGAACATTTTGTAATCCACGTGCCCTTTTAAAAGAATTTTTAAAAGCGTGAGTGACCATGTTGAGAAAAGATAATATCTGCAATCAGAAGGCCCAAAAGGAAGAAGAGGAAAAATTCAATGACAAAGGATGTTTCAAACTATGAAAGTTTAGCAGCAAAGTTGATTATTTTGCTGTCTTAAGTAATGGCTTGAGCATCTGTTTAACACGTGTTTTATATATACCTACAGATATATTTTAGAAACTAGGAGACTAAGCTTTGGTGATCTGAGGCTGAGGTGGAAGAAAAAAATTGTGGTCAATCCAAATGCAGTAATGGAACAGTTGCTTACTGCACGTAGTTTTCAAATATGAGGTACAATTGACATATAGGTTTTAGAAGATGCTATTTTCTAAGTAAATTGGTAAAGGTACAAAAATCTGCAGTTTGTCCCAAACCTCTAACAGCCATAGACTTAAAAAAGCAAGTGGTTTATGAGTGGGAGTAGCAAGTAGGAAGCAAAACTCTTAAAAGCAGCATGTTAAAGACTATTGGCAGAGAGTATTAGGAGGAAACAACCTTCCTTTCCCCCAGATTTGCCTCTTTCTTTCTATTTTTGTTGCATTTTGTTTTTCTGCTATATAATGTATCCTTAAAATAGTGAAGTATGTTTGAACACCAGATGAAGTACTGCAACTGCTGTGTACTAGGTCTAACATAGGAAGTGGGTTTTTAGTCCTTTTACTCTTCTGAAAGCATTCTCTAGCAATTAAAAAATTTAAAATACAAATGTGCTGTTGCAGATTTCATGTGGCTCATGAAAGAAGATTGCTCTCACGCTTAGCCACCCATTTAACAATAAAAAGTACAAATACCAACAGCTACAAACTTTTCCCATCAGTGTCTGTGACATCAGAGGAACTGTGGAATGTGGGGTAAATAACACTGAACTGCGTGTGTATCTGAAGTTGCACTTTTTTTGTCAGGAGAAAAAAGAGCAAAAGCCGAAGTCGAAGCCATGACAGAAAGAGGAGCAGAAGTAAGGAGCGCAAACGGAGCCGAGATCGGGAACGGAAAAAGAGCAGAAGCCGGGAAAGGAAACGGAGCAGAAGCAAAGAACGCAGACGCAGCCGGTCTAGGAGTAGAGATCGCAGATTCAGAGGCCGGTATAGAAGTCCCTAGTAGGTTATTTGTTCAGAGTTCCATGTGTGCTTCATCGTTACTATGTGAAAGGTTAAAGTTTCACTCTCTGCTTTCTAAATTGGTCAATAATTATCATTGAAAAGAAAGTGAGAGATTGGTTGAAGAATCAGTAAATACAGAGTGCAAAAGGAGATAGTAATATTCCTCTTCTAGATTTTCATTCTTAGCCAAACACAGAGATGGGAAAGCAAATGAAAGAATGTGTACAGCTGAGTGGAAAACTAAGTTTATCACAAAATCAGTATAACAACACAATTCTCTCCATGTCCTGACTGTTTAAAGTATATGAACTTGATGGTTTAACTGTCAAAAAATTAATAGTAGTCTGTTAATTTGGTTACAGGCTCATACCCTCTTTTTTTTTGTATTACTAAAGATTTTTACTGTCTTGCTGTTCCTGAACATTAACTCCATAAATGGATATTCACACAAACATATTCCATGTTTATGCAGCCAAACTGGGAGCATCGGGTCTTAGTAATGCCCATGTGTTGCAAATTTGCCCTGCTTTTTTCTCAGACTTGTTTAGAGGCTGACAAGAATTCTTTCGTTCCTCTCAGATATTTAGCTGATAGAACTTGAGCAATAGGTGGTTCCAGGCATTTATAAATCAGTTCTCAAAAGATGTTTTTTCATCAGTACAGTTTCTGATGGTTTGGTTTGTACTGTGGTTCTCCCTTTTGCTTCCCATTGCCTCTTTCTGCAGAAACTCAGTGGGAACTGGGCTGTATGCTTGACTCTCATTGATTACCTGAGGCTGCGGTTTGTCTCTGCTGTTGTCTGGGTCTCATCTCAATTGTTGTCAAATCTTGGAATGCAGGATCCTGTTAAAAGAAGGCATTTGAAAAGGATGTATTTTTTTAATCATGACATATGATGCCACCATGATAGAGAAATCTCTCAGGATGTTTGAGCAGACAGTGTTTACCATCTGATAAATTGTAGGCTTGTGCAATTTTATGAACCTGGATGTTTTTCTTCGGGCTTTTTGTACTCTTGGACTACAAACAAAAACTTCCTGAGGTCTCAGGATCTCGCTCTGTGCTAAGTCAGCTGGATGTTGGCATTTTCGTAATGAAAGCCTGCTGCAGTTCCTGGATCCTCTAAGGTGTAGTGGCATCCTATGCATCATCAATCCTATGTATGTGGGGATCATAATATATCAGCCCTCCATTTCCTTTGTCTTGAGTGTCAGAGCCTCTGTACACTGCTCTGGACTTCAGCTGTAAAGATTTCAGCAGTGCAGAGTTGTTTTCCTACAACTCTATTGCACGTAAAGTTTACAGTAGCTGGTTGGGTTATGCCAGTGCCACTGTTGTGGCTCAAGGTACAGAGGACCTTGATCAAAAACTTTAGCGTTCTGTATATGAAGCCTGCTGGCATCCTTCCCTCCAGTGCAGTGTTGTGTGGAGAGGATGTCTTTTGTTCTGTCTTGTAGTTGGGAGTTGCTGCATTCTTCCAGCTGTGTTGGAGGGTTTTATTCTTTGTTTTTCTTGATGTCTCTGGGTGAGAAGGTTTTTCACCTGGAGAAATTTGGGATTTCCAGTGTTCTGGTCTTCCAAAATAATTTCTGCAAGTAGAGGTTGAAAGTATTGATGTTACTACAATAACCCATGCCTGTTTTAATGCACTGAGATATGTTATGCCAGAAAGGTAAGCAAGGTGTTTTTTTTGCTATCCTGGCAGTCTCCCATAGCTGTTCTGGGTGATTGCTCTGGTGTTGAGGTACAGTGAACAAGATACGGGGATAATGTAGTATGCTCTGAGGGTATATAGTTGTGCTATTCATTTGATAGTTTGTTCACTGCTTCAGTTGCCAAATCATTGCTTTCATTTAACCAAGGAGAATTCTAGTGTGTTTAGATGGTTTTGTGGAAAACTGGTATAGGGCAGGAACATGTGTCCCAGAATCTTTTGTGTTGACTGATGGCAGTCAGCAAGCAGTTGCTGTCATTCAGTTGTAGATGATGAATGGTCCTGTTAAAATGATAAACATGCTAATGTGATTCCAGAAGTCTAGTTTTGGCTCTAAATGTGTGAAAGAGAAGGAATTGTGGAGTTCCTGTTCAAGGCTCCTAAAATGCAGGGACCCACCTTTAAATTTCCCTGAATTTCAGGGAGATTAAAACTTCGGTGATAAAGCCTCCTGCATCACCAACCACTTTTGGATCTACCAATACTGAGCTTTCATTTGAAGAAGTTGTCTCTGTCTCAGTGGCATAAGTTCAGTGTTTCAAAAGTGACTGCCAGAGTACTCTTTCTGGTTGGAGAATTTATTTATGGAGTCTCTCCTTGTGGGGCTGTTCCAGTAGTTTTGGGTTGGAGTTATTGCTGACAGGGTTGTAGCTGACTGCAGTATCTAGAACAAATTGCTTAATGGTTTCTATTTTATTTTTTGCTCTTTCTCATGAGCTTTATAAAGGCTCACTTTCAAGCTGGTTATCTGTAAACTGAGATGGTTTTGCCGCTGAGAGCAATTAGGAGGCATCTCAGCAGTAGTCAGAAAAAAGTTTAGGTAATTCTGAAGGAAAAAGAGAGGAGGGTGCTACAGAGAACCTGAAAACTTCGAGTTTCTCACTTTAGGCTTGAAATGTGGTTAAATGCTTTAGTTTTAAATTAGGTTAAAATTAGGTGACTGTCTTGCATTGGTTAGTGTTCACAGGGTTGTTTTTTTTTTCCTCCTGTTATTTTCACATATGTTGTCCCTTAAGTGTTACATAGCTGTATCATTAGGTCTCTTAGGAGAAAACTTGACTGAGTAGTCTTGCTTAGACATCTGCTGGGCAAATCCCAGCTGCTGCTAACAGAAAGTAGAAGTCACTTAGATCGTCCTGTTTCTATTCTGAAATCACAAATTTAGACAAAGCTGTTAGGAAAACAGGTTTATTTCAGTGATGACTGAAAGTTGCTTGTGATTCTCCTGGACTTTGTTAGCCAAAGTTTGCCTTGTCCAACATTTTTCTGTTGGAATCTTGAATATGAATGAATAGGTAAAAGCTGATCATTTGCTGGCTGTCTTCTGACCTGACCATTGTTGGGCCCTGTGGCATCTCATAGGTTTTGTGGAAGTGTGTGCTTTGGCTGCACACAGCGCTTTGGCTTACAAAGAAAGTGACTCCTAGACACAGAGATTAATGGCTTGTGACATGGTGTTTCCATACAGATTAGCAGGAACTGGGCAACAATTGTGGGGACAGTAGAAGCAATGAAGAAACTTTACTTGAGATGTATGGCTTTACAAACAAGTCTCCTTAGAAAAACACAGAGAGAATACTGTTGAAAAGGGTATACTGTTGATTTTGAGAAGATAATTTGGGCTCTCACTTCGCCCTAGGCAGTTTTCTGTTTGGTCTGTTCCAGTGGTCTGGGGTTTCTTAATGTTGGTCTCATGGAGTTCTGTAAATAAGACAGTACTAGTCAAGCAAGAAAATGGAGATTTTTGGAGTTATGGTGTGTTGTGGGTTTTCCCTGCCCTTCTTTCCTCTTCTCTCCACCCCCACCCCCACTTTCTGCATGTATTTGAAAACTTACTTCTCAGTTGTTTGTGTTTTGGGTTCGTTATTAATTAGATTTAGACGAATACTTACAATATTTCTTTCACCATTTTCTTGAGAACTCATGGTCTTAACTATTTATTAATGTTTAGTTGGTCTGCATGTTAGTGTTATGGAGTCACTGTAATTGGTTTGTCTGGCTGCATTTGAATTAAAATGGAGAGCACCACGTTTTATATCTGATGTGAAGGTGCAAGGTAGTCCCATATCTGATAAGAAGGTAGCCTCTGAAATTAGTACCAGTATTTCCAGGTGCAGCTTTTGGCAGTTGTTCCATAGATACTGAAGAGCCTCAATAGACACTTCAGCAATAATTTGTCTAGACTTGAGCAGGAAAGGGAGTAATTTATCCTGGGCAAAAAAGGTCTGGTTTTGATCAGTTGTGATCTCATCTCAACATATGCCTGTGTTTTATGTCTTATTTTTGCTCAGTAAGTAGCTATCTTCATGAGTAGTTTCTAAATGGTCTTTTTTCTTTTTTTTTTTTTTCCCCAGTGTTGTACAGGGCCATGTTTCCCTTGCTTTAACCTGGCCAGCACGGTTTTGGATCTTGGCCCACTACTTCTAACTGTGTCACAACATGCTTAAAAAATGGGCATCCTCCTCCTTGTGGTGGATGCTGAGTTTAACTATAAGCATTACTGCTCCACTGAGGAGCAAGAAGACATTTTTCAGACAAATTGCGTTGCCAAATGGATTTAGTGAAAGACTACTTAGTGTCTTCAGCCCACTGCGTCTTTCAGGGTGTTTTACATCAATTTTTAGCAACAGCAGAAAGAATCAATTGTGTACAGATGGAAAGCCAAAGCCCAGTGCACAGTATTCAGTCTGTGCAGAGTGCCTCTGCACTTGGTGGTGATACAGGAAGAATGTTAACAGGTGTTGTTCTTTGCCTTTTGAACAACTACCAGGAGATCAAATTCAGGGGGAGCATGATAGGATGGATCAGTCTGTTCCTGGGTGCCCCATTAACTAGAAAGAGGACTGTCCTTAAAATGGAAGCAAAGGGCAGATTACAGTGTGTTCCAAGAGTCACTGTGATGCCTGAAGAATTAAATGAGATTCAGTCAAGAGATTGGATTCCTTTTGTGGTTATGTGTCTGTGTACATCTGACTGCTGGGTTCACTGCTTCTGTGGTTTGATGGCCATTAGGAATTTTAAGGAAGCTTCATTTACCTATTTGCAGCACTTAAGTGGTTAGAGCCATTAGTGAACATGTGTCTCTTGCATGTGTCTGCATGCAGCCACTTTGGTTTGCTCTTGCACCGTAAATTTCTTGGAACTTTTGATTTTAAAATGTTACACTTGAGCAAGTAATCCTGCCAGTACCACTTGGCATACATCTCTGAAGCTGAGTTCAAGGCCATGAATGTTATGCTTTGCAGTTGTCAGTATGTAGAACTTGCTTGTGGACAAAAAAGCAGGTGAAAATGATTATAACAGTAACTGTAGCTCAGAATAGTTTGCATATACCAATGTGCCATGACTGACTGTCTCACAAAGAGTCCTGCATATTCTGGGATTTTGTGATGTTGGTGAAAGTGGGAGGGGATCATCTTCTGTTCCTGATGGTCTGAAGTGCTGCATGTATGGACAACTAGCTGATTATCTTATGCATGCTGTGGGTGCTGCTAATGGAAATGATGACAAGTTCAGAGGCAAGGGTGGGTGAGCACTTGGAGCGTGAGTACAGACAGGACACTTTGAATTCACGTACTCAGGTGTCTTGTCTTTTCTTCTACCATAGTTCTGGTCCAAAATTCAACAGCGCCATCAGAGGGAAGATTGGTCTGCCTCACAGCATCAAATTAAGGTTTTTGACTTTTCTCTGTTTTTCATTGCATCATTAATAGGTTTTATTTAGAACCAGGAGTGGTTTATTGGAAGGTTTTCTTGTAATCTTGTTGATCTTTCTTTTTAGCAGACGTCGCTCCAGAAGCAAAAGTCCTTTCAGAAAAGACAAAAGTCCTGTTAGGTATGACTTTTTTTTTTTTTTTTGACGTGTGTTTGGGTTGGTTTGTTTTTGTCAAGTTGGAAAAGTGATGGTGAAATAATGTATGGCTACTTGCTCTCCAGTTTACACTCATAAGTGATGCTGGAATTCATTCAGAAAGCCAGTGAGAGAAGAGCATTGGTAGTATGTTGCTTTCTCCCCACATTGTAAGAGGTTGTAAATAATGTCTGTTTGGAAAACAAATCTTGATTTGTTTGTTTTTTATGTTTCTGTATTTTCAGTCTTTCCCTCATTAATTGTGATTTAAATTAGCTTTTCTGATGAGTCGTACTTAATCTAGAGTATGGAATGGGAAAGTGCAAATGCTTCTTTTTGCTGTCCAGTATTTATTAGTGTTATTTGTCGAGAGGCTATATGCCTCTGCAATCCAGGAGCTGCTTAGCCATTCTTACTTAGTCTTCTTATTTAAGGGAGTAGGATTGAGATAGCTGCTAATGAGATTATTCTTTTACATTAATGCAGTTAAATTCAACCAATCTCATTTTGTTTTTCAGTGACTAGCAAACTCTTACTGAGATAATTATGTTTAAATTGTTCTTGTGTTTTCTAAGTGATTAATATCTATGTGATTAATTTAATAAAAATACATGCTACATGGATGGAAGCTCAATCCAGGATACACCATGCTACTGCATATGTAACTTGCACTTGAGTACAAGTCAGATTTGTTTAGATTTGAAGCTTTAATACATTAACAGTGGTACATCTAATGTCAGCTAATAGTTCAGTATTGAAGTTAATATTATTCTAGTTCTTAATGTGTCAAGGATCAAAGTAATTCACTATTCATACTTCTTTATGGGTTAACAAGCTGAAACTAGGCAATGAGGATTGCGAGTTCTATTTACATGGATGTTAGTCTTGTTTTATGCGGTGGCTGTAGTGACTCCAAAGTGACTGGGTAAATGCCAGATGTGAGTTGGTAAAACCTAGCCCACACTTCTTGTCTGAGAATTTGGATAGCCGATCTGTGCTAGTTTGCCCTATCTGCTTTTGTATTCTTGTCGTTCCATCTTTCTGATGAAAAGGACATGTAAGCTCCATAGCAGTACCTGATATCAATTCTGGACAGTAGCAAAACCTCAGTTTATGCTTTTGCACATAAAATAGAATTTTCCAGTGATATTTGATGCTCACAGTTGAAATAGGATATTCAGTCATGTTATAACTTACCATGTGAATATTTGGTGTTCCCTTCAGTTCTTTTCGCCGCCTTTCTTTAATACAGCAGGCTTTTTTTTTTTTCCTAGACTGTGAAGTACTGATTGCTTAGTGTGTCATTTGTGGTCCATAGATGAGTTATCTTAATTCAGTTGATTTTTTAGCTGAACTTTACTCTTTCCAGAGAACCTATTGATAATCTTACCCCTGAAGAGAGGGATGCTCGAACAGTGTTCTGCATGCAGTTGGCTGCAAGAATTCGACCAAGAGACCTGGAAGAATTTTTCTCTACAGTAGGGAAGGTAATTGATAGGGAAGTTAAAATAATTTTGTATTTTGCCTCAAGTTTGGTATTTTTTCAGAATTGTAAGCATGTGGCTTTCTGGAGCATCCTGTACATCCCTGTGCAAAGAGGGATTAACAATGAACTAATAAAAGCTTTGAACACAAAAATGTAGCTTCTCAGTAGTTGCTTGTTCATGTGATGTGAGGCAAAACATGTTGATGTAATTCTGACTCAATTTCATTTTTCATGTTTTCTTTTTTCAGATAGGTCTATCAGTTATAGTGTCATTTGAAAATTCATGTAACTTCTAAGTTGGAAAAACTTCATTTATTCTATCAGCTGTAAGGTTCTGGTGTAAAGCATTAGCATGCTGCAAGTTCTGTCACATACAAAACAAAACAGCTTTAGTTCTAGCTTGTCTCTGGGATACGTTTGTTGCAAAAGGTGTATGCTGCTGTAGAATTAAAACTGTTGGCTTGGCAAATAATTCTCAGTATTAATATGTGCCTGAGAAATAGGCTGCATTAGGTTTTTTCCTCTTTCTCTAAAAGTATTTCCATCTCTGTTGTTGCCTTTCAGGTTCGAGATGTGCGAATGATTTCAGATAGAAATTCCAGACGTTCAAAGGGGATTGCTTATGTTGAATTTGTTGATGTTAGTTCAGTGCCCCTGGCAATAGGACTGACTGGACAGAGAGTCCTGGGTGTCCCTATCATAGTACAGGCATCTCAGGTAAGGAATTGTAAACCTCATTTTTGTTCATGCTGAGTTATGCCTCCTGTGTTTTGATGAGAAACTTAAAAGTTTGAAAATTTGGCTACCACTGAATATTAGGAAAACCTGAACAAGGATGATTATTTAAGCTTGTGATAATGGACCTTTGTTTCTCATAGATAACAGGCAAATTAACATGATTTAAAGATGTGTAAAGCTACTAGGAAAATACAGATCTTAAGCAAGTAACAGTAAAGAAATTGTTAATAGTATTACAGAAGTGAAGGCTGTATTGCGTATGCTTTCCAGATAATTTACTAGGTAGAAGTCAGAATTCTGCATGAAGTTGTTCAGTTTGAAGGCTTTTGGAGTCTCTTGTCTCTCTACTTGGTCATGGTCTTGGATTTTGTAGCTCTTAAGTTCAAGTCTGATGAATAGACTGCAGATCACGCAACAGCTTCTCTGTTTGATGAATCTTCTAGTTTAGGTCTGATAGATATTTACTTCATATGTTAGAGATTTTTTTATTGATTTCTTATTGAAGTGAATTTTTATTTTCTCCTTAGGCAGAGAAAAACAGAGCAGCAGCAATGGCAAATAATCTGCAGAAGGGCAGTGCTGGTCCTATGAGGCTCTATGTGGGATCATTACACTTCAATATAACTGAAGATATGCTTCGAGGAATCTTCGAGCCATTTGGCAGGGTAAACTTTAATTTGGCATGTTGTGTTAGAGTAGTTTATTTGAAAAACCTAGCTTAGTTGTAGAGCCCTGGCAGCTTCTGGAAATAATTCAGCTTCATACTCACAAAACACTTGTGGCTTTCTTGCACTGCTGTGCCCATGCATCCACAGGCCTTAGGTATGTGGGTAGTGTTGGAGAGCAGATGAGAACTTAGATTTGTGGTGGTGTCCTGTGAATTAGAATAGCAGGTCTTAGAAAGTTCAGAATTCAATGAATACTTGAAATTGAGGAGCAGGGGGGAAAAAAAAGCAGAACAATTCTCGATGTTGTATCGTGCTCTGGCAGCTTGTATCTTTCCCTTTCAGGATTGTGAATGGAAGCCTCATTTCATGGGTTAAAACACAAAAATCAGAGATCTCTGAGAATAGTACTATCTGTCATGTTTCTGATGACTTTTTGCTGCAGCTTTAGCTGATTTTAAGACCATAAACTAGCAGTGTGTCCTATACAGACAGCTCTGAGTTGGGACCACTGTCACTCCTGAACATTGAGCAGCAGCATGGTAGCATGATAGTAAGTTTATGTAGAAAGAATTATGGAAGTGAGCAGATAAAACCTGAAGTTTCTTGTGGAGTTACAATATGTTAGCCGTACTGGTGTATATATCATTTACATAGGGGAAAAGTTAGGTATTCAATATGCTTCTTAATGGGTAAAAAGAAGTCTGTTTGAGGGTTTTGCCTACTGTGTTTGGGTATAAACTCTGCCTCTTATACATATAGTATATGCTTTTCACATGCTTTATTCAGACTCAGTATGCCTATCCCTTTAAATCTCTTGCGCAAAACCCTGGAAAATTGCTACAATTGATAAAATTTAATGTACGTGGCTGCTCATCTGGTGGTTTGGGAGTTTTTTCTTCCATCAAGGTCTGGCAGTAGGATTAAGGTAGTTTAGGAGGCTTATATGGAGGCCTGTGAAGATCTTTGCTTCTTCCGTATACTCCAGTCCTTCCCAATGCTACTTTATAGCTAATGGATACCTCAGTGATGTGTTTTAAATTCAGTAACTGTAAACTTCTAGGAGTTCCCATGTACCAATAGTTATTAAAACATACAGCTTTTTCTTAAAGACCTTCATCAGTCAGGCATACTGCTTTTCTTACTTAGTAAAACAGTTTCTCAGCATATGAGGTGCCATGATCAGTGTGTTTCAGTTACGATCTCATCATGTCTGCATGCTTATTCTGCTAGAATTCAGCATCAAGCCTCTACCCATAGATGAGCTCAAAACCCTTATGTTTTACCTGCTTCTCTTGCTATGCAAGTACCTATTTAGCTGTCTGTATACTGATTTTGAAATGAGGAAGGAATGAGAGACTAATTAAAAAAAACTAATAGTTTCACACATTCATGTATGTGTGTTTGACAGGGCTGTTTTCATGTTGTGTTGTGATTCTTGGGGTTTGTTCCAAAGTGTCTGTTAATAAATAGCTTTATTCTTATCTTTAGATTGAAAGTATTCAGCTCATGATGGACAGTGAAACTGGACGCTCAAAAGGATATGGATTCATTACGGTATGATTAGAATTGCCAGGTTTCTAAGATGATTTCTGAGTGTAACCTTCCCATGTAGGAGTATATCTCTACATATTAACCTTCCTGTGTATATTATATCTGTGTGGTTATATAGTAGCAATCTAAACATAATAAACCATGCATAATCTAAATTTGTTACATATGCATAGGAGGTACTAAATTGCTGCTTGATTACTATATATCCCATTTCACAAGTGTCATGTTGCAGGATGCACCACTGGCTTTTTTCTTTGTTTCTAATGGTTCTCTGGGTATTGAGAAAGGGCAGTGATAATGTTTACATGGGAATAGTTTCCTCTGTAGTCAGTCAGTTGCCTGCAAAAGCAAATTCTGTCTTCTGCAGGCAAATACACTAGTAAAGACTGGTGTTTTTTATAGCTGAAAATAATAGAATTTGAGCTTTTTAGGGGAAATAATTGGGGCTGAAACTTTCAGTTGAAAGCATCTTTCCTCTTTACCCTCAGGTACACAGTTTTGTGAACTTGAGTTTCCTAACTCAATTTCCTCTCAATTTGTCATGGGGAAAAAAGTCTTGGCTGGGACCTCTGGCATGTGGACACAAATGAAACCAAACTTACTGTATAGTTCATACTTGATGGTTTTAACACTGATAAAATGCTTGTGTTTATTTTGATGTTTCACAACATAAAGCAGAATATCTGTTAGGAATAACCTGTAAATACCATGGCAGTTATAAGGTTGCAAAGGAATTGGGTGTCACTCTTGGAAGAGAGCCACAGCCATGACTTCTATTGATTGCAGTATCTAGATGCTGTATCTTCAGCAATATATTTAAATATATTGTACCTAACTGTGAGACAGTAGATACCAAAATATGTGTGTTTGGTTTAAATGAAAAATTCTGAGCACATGTATGTTAGCTTGTTGCTATTATCTAGAAGAGTTTTTCCTATTTGTGTAATTGTGAGTATTACATATAGTAGAAGTGTTGCTGACTCCTGTAGACAAGTATTACTGAGTTTGTGTTTTTCTGATCTACAGTTCTCAGACTCTGAGTGTGCCAAAAAGGCCCTGGAACAACTCAATGGATTTGAGCTGGCTGGGAGGCCAATGAAAGTTGGACATGTAACTGAGCGTACTGATGCTTCCAGTGCTAGCTCATTTTTGGACAGTGATGAGTTGGAACGGACTGGAATTGATTTGGGAACAACTGGTCGCCTTCAGTTGATGGCACGACTTGCAGAAGGTGTGTGCAGTGTTGGATAACAAGTGTTGAAGAAGTTTGCCGAATTTGAATTGAAACACTCCACAGATCTGTTAGGATAAATGAAAGAAACGTTTAAATGCATGATATTTTTTATCTTTTGACAACAGGAAGATTTCCAATACTTCCATTACTGCATCCCTAACTGAATGAAAAGGCTTACTCCAAGTTCTCTCTATGTTCTGTTCCAGGTACTGGTTTGCAGATTCCTCCAGCTGCACAGCAGGCTCTGCAGATGAGTGGATCTTTGGCCTTTGGAGCTGTGACAGGTAAGAAATGATGACCTATATATTTTTAAAAAAAATTACTTTATAAATTTGAGACAGGAGGTACTTAACTATGTTTTTTGGTCTTTAGAAATGAGGTATTGCAGCATGTTTTACAAACTGTAAAACACTGCAAAACCATAGGCAAATAACTAATAACAGTATATCACAATTTGGATGGGTGTGATTAATTTTGCACATTTTTCCAAATTTGCTGGTTTTCACCCCAAGCCTTCATCTCTTCACTATTCTCTGTGCTAGTGGGGATTTGTATGTTCTACTGCAGTATATGTGTTGACTGTTAAAAATGGCAGGCTCAGAATTGGAAGGGGATTGACCCCAATAGGAAAACCAGAGCTGTACAAGGGGCAGGAAGGTTATTAGGACTTTATGGGGGACATACTGTAAAGATGGCAGCAGTGTTTGTACAGCATATGTCCTCGTGAGGAAAGACATTTTATGTCAGGGAATGTGTGTGTTGCTTGGATTTGGCTATGGTTCTCTGTGTGTTCTGCAGGTGGATGTGCTGGAATGAGGCTGAGGGATATGATTGCTGCTGCTTAGTTCATAACGGGTCTGAAAAACAAATTGTTAATGGGGTCTTGAGAGCTAGAGCAGGGAGTAACTTCTCTGAAGGTTTTTTTTTCTTTTTTTTTTTTGCTACTTTTGATTACTGCTATGAACAAAGGATATGAAACTGTCATAACAGTAGAAAGGACCTGAATGTCACAAATAACCAGATGCTAGAATATGTGGGAAGTGTCAGGAAACTAGCAAAGAAAAGGTGGCATTGTTTTTTGCCTTCCAGCAGAGCTTGTGATGAAAATGATTCAGACTTAATAAGATAGGTCTGAATCATGTTACTGAAGGTCAGGTGCAGTCATAAGAAGAGCATACATATGAAGCTGTAGACAGTTGCTAAAAGAATATAATAGAGTTGTTCTAGAGATGTGCCCTTCTAAGGAAAAGAAACTGGCTAGTGACAGAAAAATGTTGGTTGCCTGTTTGAGAAGGATGAAAAACATACAGTAGCAAGGAAAAAGTGTTTCTAGTCCAGAAAAAGAAGGAAAGCTAACAACTGGTGAAGTTAGATCAGCATGTATGCAGTTTATATAGTGGTGTGGCAGTCTCATGTAGAAACACGTCAGCAATTAGAAATCAGAATAGTGTTTAAAAAAAAACCAGTCATTTTCCTCCCCCTCATTTGAAACAAGGTCAAAAAAGTCCAAGCTCACTAAATCAAGAACATGGCCAAAAATGTCTGACACAGCTGAATGGTTCAGGTAGTATAGAATCAGCATGAAAAAACATGGCTGCGGAGAAATAAATGATGAGGCTGGATACAGGTGATGCATGTTTAGCAACTGTAGAAATAAAGGTGGTAGGGGTAGCATTGTTCATTCCACTTGTATTGTACAAAAGGAATAATGCAGACATATGCAACTTAAATAACTTTGGAAAAAGATTAAGCTTTTTGCTGCCATAGAGTCATGAGCTATCCCCAAAGTGAGATTTGGTTATGGATTAAAGATCTCTTTACTCTTGTTAGAGAAAATTACTACCAGGAATTATGTCATTGTGGGAGACTTTAACTTCCCCGATACAGATTGGAGAAGAATTGCTAGTAATAATGGTGGGGCCCAGATATTCCTGGATGTGATATCCGACAAATTTCTTCATCAAACACTCACTGACTCATGAAGAGGGGATTCTATTTTAAACTCAATTTGGTAAGTAATGAAGATGTTATGGATGAGAATAGAAATGACCATTGACTTGAGGGATCATGAGTTGCTCACATTTAAATGGAAGGATACACAAACAAGTCTTAACTGGTCGAAGAAACAAGGCAATTAAGTCATCTGGTCTGAGCAACTTGGGTGTTTGAACAGGCAGGATGTAAAAAGTTTCTTCTGTTTCACATTGCTAATGCTGTGTTGGATCTGTATTCTACAGAAAGAAGAAAAAATTCTGTTAGTGTGGGCTCCACGGTAAACCTGAGTGATCAGCTACCTTAAAAGAAATGAGGAATGACCACACAGCCTATAAAGAATAAGAAAAATGACTGATAATAAAACAATATTTTTAGTTTGGGAAACTATAAAAGATAATTGTCTGCCAACAGTCAGATTGAGTTAGACGTTGTTAAAGATAAAAGAGCAATAGATGAAAATTTATCAAGTCTCAAAGAAAAAAAAAAATCATTCAGGTGGATGAAAAACTACTCCCAAGATGTTTCTATGTATTTAGTTGCCTCAGCTAGTGGGGATACTGGTCATAAAGTTCAGAATTGGAGGAAGGTAAGCTAGGAATATGTAGTTCAAAAATGAATAAGAAAATTACTTCCAAGGTAGGAAGAATGGTAAAAGTAAGAGGCTAATGTAAACAGTTCAGAGGAGTAAAACTCCCATGACATGAATGATGGAGTACATGTATGAAACATGAGGTCTCACCTCTGGTATTGTTGATAAACATTTTAAGTCCATGATATGGTATATAGCTGAAACATGTGACTCTAAATTACACTTGAAGTACACTTAAAGGAAGAAGAATGTGGTCTGGCCAGATTCTGGTCCCGTTACTGAGTAGACTTTGCTCCTGCAGAAGTCATAGTAAAGAAGGGTAAACCAGAGAATATTACAAAAATATAGCATACTGTCAGAAACTGTATGGACCAACAGTCATTGATTAAATTGTGTTTCCTTGGCTAAGGAGGAGCAGCTTCTTGCTGTTCTTTAGATTCCTGTCATTTGGAAGTTATTAAACTGGAGAAGTGAGTAATATAGGAAGTACGAGGTGTGTCAAGAAGCTGGCTTGGAGAAAGAAGGATTTTTATACAGGGGAAAGTTGGAGGCTATTGTTAAAGCCAAAGTTCAGGTGTTGGGCTGCTCTTGTGTAATATTTACATGAATGAAAATGGTCAGCAGTAGAAATGAGGTGAATAAATAGGTGCAAGAAGTTCTTGGGGTGTTGAATATGGTTCACCTTGTCATGGTTAAATCAAATTTCACTTGCATAGTTCTGGGAGCTTAGCAATGGAAGAATTGCCTGGGAGGAGGAAAATATCTAAATGCTTCAGTTTTTCAGTGGCAGAATGTGACCTGGCAGCTTGATACATCGTTGAAATATTAGCTGTGTTCCTAGAGGCAGGTAGGCCTGAGCATCTGAGGTGTAATACATCTGCAAACACTTCTGATAATCTGTGTTCAAGAGAGAGTCAATCAAACTAAAGTAGGGAAAGTAAAGAATTAGTTTTAGGGGCCCTTGAGAATTTGGCCATCCAGCAGGAAAAATAATTTGAAGCTGATCAGTTGTCACTGTGTACTCCCTGTTCTCTTTCTGAACGTAGGAAATTTAAAATAGTCAGCCTATAGAACATTCTTCCAATGTTTTCTGGGACAAAGCATTCCTTACTTGGGGAAGGAGCTATCTGTTTATGGGAGAAATTGACATGGTGTGCTGCAAAAGAGGAAGGGGATGGGATAGCTGTTATCATCCTGGACGGACCTCTACTTGGTCTCTGTTCTAAGTAATGACTCAAGACACTGGGTGATGCTTGGCAGGCTTTGGCCTATTTAAAGCCATCTGGATTTCAGAATAAACTTTATATTTTAAGAGACAAAACGCTTTGATATGTCTGTATTTCTGCTTTCTCTGTACACTAAACATGTACTCCCATCATGCTAGACTTGCTGCTCTTACAGGTGTTATGTAAGAACATACTGGAAAAGTTACTTTGAATTGGTCAGATGTATAAATTTTAGTTTCTGCATACTATTTAAAACTATGTGTAGGGAAACATGAATTGACAGTATAGAGTGACAGTTTCATAATTCTGAGTGATTTTAGAAGTGAGAGGACAGGACTGTTCTTCAGTCATGAGCAACAAGAGAATCCAGTTAGCTGATAAAAGATTTGGTGAGCAGCAGGTTATGTTTCAAGCATGGTAGATAATTAACCTGTGATACTGTTGCACAAGATAGTGGTAGCTGACTTTGCTGTGTTTAGAACAGATCTTACTTGGCCGTGGACAGAATTTGCATTGGTGATATATGCAGGTTTACCATGTTAGGGGCAGGAATTCTGGAGCATTTGGCTGTAGACCCCCAGGCTGACCCACATAGACAAGTTCAGCTGGACATGATGGATTGGAATTGCAGCAAGAAAAGTGTCTGTCCTCATCTAAATTGGGAGTTTGGATATTTGCGGGTTTCTTTCAAATGCCTTTGTTTTCAAAGGAGTCTGAGTATTAATTAAGTAGGTAATTAGTTACAGATTTGTCCAAGACCATGGAGTTTCTGCAAAGAATACAGGCTAAGGCAGCCTTTGCTATTGTGATATTTCTCATTCTATGGAGGTGAGGACTTGGTGGCTTCAGATCTGGATGGAAAACATGCCAAACATGGCCAGCTCTTTTTGCAGCTCAGCCTTGAGAGCTTACTCCTTCCAGCCCTTGCTTTTCAGTATGGCTCCTGGTACGTGTTCTTTGCAAAACACTTGGAAAGGCACATGAGGAAAATCTAGAGAAAAACATTTATTTTTGTTCTTCAGTGTTCTGGAGGAGGTTTTATTAGAAAGGGGATAAGTTGTTGATACCTGGTGCCTTCAGGTATTTCCAAGTAAGCTTGGAAACTTACTTGGTGCTCATCACTTTGCTATTCTGTAAATGAGTGAATTAAGGCGATTGTTTGCTTCAGTCTTCTCGCATCTAGTGTATGTTAAGTGGAACCATGATTAAAAGGGCTTATACTTACAGTTCTTGAATTCTGAAGTTTTCTGTTAGTTCAAAGATGTCATATACTTGGAAATGGCTAGAAAGTCTGCATTTGTTTATTCCCATCACTTTGAATTGGGACAAGTGTATGTTGTTAAACAAGTAAATAATGTTTTCTAGGCCAATTACATGTTCTGAAAATTGGAAAAGATTTAGAATTTGAAAAATGCCAAAGTTACTTGTATCATTATGCCATCTGTATGAAAGCATAGCAGATTAAATATTGCCTTATTCTACTTGAAATGAAATTTAATAACTGCTTTAAGAATGTCAGGTTTGAATAACTGTGTGCTTAACTGCTTTCTGGTAGTAAAGATGTTGGTGTTGACATGCACCTCTAATGCATGTCAGAATTACTGTAATTATTTTCTCATGGAGTAAAACATGTCTTGTAAAGACCTCAATCACAGCAAAAGCAAGTTGGGAGTGATACATTTAATTAAAGGTACATGGTCATGTCTGTCCTTTTAAGGTATTGTTTCTCTTTAAAATGCTTTGTTGTCACAGAATCTGTCAAGTACAGAACATTCTTGTAGAGAAGCTGAAATTAGTAAAACAACTCACAACTAGAGAGGAACAGTGATACTGGAATAAGCTCTTAACCACAGAAATACAAGCTGAACAACCTCGTTGGCAGGTGATGATACAGTGATGCTAGCAAGCATACTAATTAACTTCTCTGTGTTTTTCTTCAGATTTACAAACAAGACTGTCCCAGCAGAATGAAGGTAAACTAGCATTTGATATGACTTGTAGTTAGTAGATTTTATGTCAGGTGTCTGCAGGGGAAATTCTTCTGGTATAGGGTTTGCCCATACCTGAGAAATTGTGTTCTCTTAGTTGTCTAGTTGTCTGTGGGGAATCATGCTGTGATTGATTTTTTTGACTGAAAATTCTTGGTTGCATTTTCTCCAGTGTTGGTAGCATTCCCCAGCCATGTACTAGTCCAAGAAAATGCGTGGGCTGGTATTTGTAATTGAGTAGGAGTGTTCTCCCTGCCTTAGAGGGGTTATTTGAGAATCAGAAGTTTGGGTTTACGGTCTCTGAATTGCTCCTTATCTGACTGCAGAACCCTTAATGTGTGAAGTATAAGGGGAAGGGGGCTGTTATTGCAGCTCCATTGACAGCAGCCTGAAGCCTATGGAAGGGCAGCCTGTGGGACAGTGTTTAACACAATGTTATTGGCATGATGAGCAGCAGTAAATGACAAGTAATAAAAATTTCAGTTATAGGGAAAGAGCAATTTCATGCGTCAGATGTTTCCTTCAGTCAGCCTTTTCAAGGGATAAAAGTGCAGGTACACCTCTGAAACAGGTGCTTAAAACGGGTTTTAAAAATTCCCCAGGGTTGTCTGTCCTCTGCTGTCCAGTCAGCTGAGCTGGTGCTGTCCTGAGCTGCTGTTGGGCTTCTATGAGGAGCAAAACATAAAAGGCGCTGCTGCCATAAAACTCAGGCAGATATTCTAGATGCAAGTTAAGATAAATGCCTTTTAATAATGTTCAAATGGAAAATCTGCCAAAATCAATGTACACAATTATATTTTCACTTTTCAGGTTCAACTGTGATTCATAGTGTGCTGGTTTTTGTATTGATCTGTTTAAATATATCTTATCATCAGTAGTGTCTGGTTCTGCGTTTTGCTTTCCTGCCTTCACTTTCTCTTTAGTCAGAGCTGTTTATACTGAATAAATTAGAGCCATGCATAGCAGGTTCTTAGATATGCTAATGTCTCGGGTTTTTTCCATTACAACAGTTCTGGCTGCAGCTGCTTCTGTACAACCACTTGCAACACAGTGCTTCCAGCTTTCCAACATGTTTAATCCTCAAACGTAAGTGATTTATTATTGTCTGTTTGGCATTTGTCAATGACTTTAACATGTAAGAAAGAAATCAGAATGTTGCAGGAGTGTGTTTAATGGGTTTTGGGGGTGGATTTTGTGTGAACAATATCTCTGTCCTGTTTTTCCTTCCCCTGTACAGTGAAGAAGAAGCTGGCTGGGACACAGAAATTAAAGATGATGTGATTGAGGAATGTAACAAACATGGAGGAGTTATCCACATCTATGTTGACAAAAACTCAGCTCAGGTATGCCTGCTTCTGGGGGGGACACCCTGAGCAGATGTTAGGAGCTCTGTTACTCTCTTTTGTCTACAGGGAGCATTATAACTATGGGGCTTTTTTGTCACTCTTAAGACACAAAAAAGCATGATGTGAACACGTTGTTCTTGAGGTAAAAAAGGGGTAGTTTATTTTCCTACTCCAACATTTACAGATTTCCAGAAGTGACAGTGGATTGGAAGGTGAAAGTGCCACCTCTCCTACGACACTGGACAAACCAACAATCTATAAAATTTTTCCTCCTCCATAAAAGAATGCAGAACAATAAGTTATTTACAGAAAGTGTGTGAGAAAATTTGTTACAAGAACGTAAACATCAGAAGGCTTAGAAAATCTTAAAAAACAGGGCGACACTTTTCCTAAACTGTACCTAAATGTCTTAGTTTGTGCAAAATATAGGTGGTTCCCTCCTATTGTGAGTCATTGTGTGTAACTTGGATAAGCTCTTGCAGGTTTACCCAGCTGAAGTTGCTATAGAAGAGCAGTGACCAGTTCAGGCATTTGGCATTTCCCTTATGCTGTGCCTTCCCCCCAAGTCAGGGACTTCAGTTTCCTCTTTCTAGAGCACAGGCTTCAGCAGAAAGGGCCCTTGCTCCAACATAATTACAGCGTAAGGTAAATATGTGCCTAAACCCATGGTTAGAAACAGTTGTGCTCACTCACGACATTAAAGCCTTGCAATGGGCAGTCTGAGAGCCTGGAGTTAGTCAGCAGCAGTCTCTCTTCCTTGTTCTGAATTCCAGATTAATGCCTGCATCTTAAACTGGTGAATATATTTTTTCTTCTGACTTCACCTTGTTTACATAAACTGCAGACCTCTTCTCTGTATTTCAGCTCTTAGACTGTATAAACTCTGGAAGGTCTGTAAATAGCTTAACTCTATTGAACCCTTTTATTAAAGAATTCACAGCCCAAACAAAAGTTCAGTTTTCACATGATTTCACAGTTGGGTTAATTTCTACCAGACCCTAAAAGTGTCATCTTGTGTTCCATGCTAAGATAAGGCTGAAACCCCTGTTCCTGTTGGTGTGCTTAGGTGGGATTATTCTGCCCTGGTGATCCACTTAGCACTCAACCATTGCTGTCTTGTGCAGCTGCCCCAGTATCACCTGAAACCCTTTCTTGTGGGTTACAGAGAGGTTAGATAGGAGCTGCAGTCTAGCACATAAAACAATGTGCTGCCTTACCTAGCATCTTGTAATCTTCAAGATCACACCTGTGGTCTTGGACTGTTGGACTGATGAGAGGCAGAAACTTTCCCCATAATGTGTTTGTTATTTACAGAAAATGAAGTGTTCTTTGACAGAAGAAAAACCCCAAAACAACCAACAACCCAGAACACTTCCCACCTCCAACAAACCCTCCCAATATCTAAACACAAAAAAATGACTGCACAACCCCCCAAAAAACCACCACCCCTAAAACTACACCAGCCCTCAAGATACCTCAGCTAGGTTCTAAGCCCATGGAGCTGTAAAATTCTGTTTCACATTAGCAGGGGGATTTAAAAGAAGAAACTGCAACATACTAAGTAAGGAGTTAATGTTTCATAAAAAATGAAATCTGTTTTGTCATAGTAGCACAGCAGTGACACAGATATAAAATACCCACTGATAGTGTTTCCATTATACCATTCTGTCTTCCAGGCTTAGATTCTGGGCATCTTGAGGGCTTTGTCTGAGACTTCCTTGCCGAGGGCTGTCAGGTGTTGGCTTATGATGGTGTGATTTGTTGTGGATTAAACAGTTGCAGTCCCAGCTGAGTGCATGGCTCATCTACTGCATCTATCTGTGCTGCTGGGTGTTAAGGAAAAGCACAGCTTTGTGTTTCTGCACCTCATTTGGGCATTTAAGCAGTTTTTGCAGGGGGAGACTGAGAGCAGAGCTCTGTATGTTAATTGATTGCTTAGTGCCTTAAACACCAGCCCCTAAGCTTAGGTTTGCCCCATGAGAAAGGAATGAGTTAGATTGCAGTGGGAAGAGGTAATACTGGCTGACTAAAGCTGCTAAGGAAAGGCTGGAGTCTATTTTTTAATGCACTATTTTCCTGAAAAATCTGTTTCAGCTAGAATTGATTTTTTGGGTATTACTGGTGGTTATTTTTGAGCAGACAGCCAGAAAAATACCACACATTACTGTGGGCATCTCTGTGTCTTGGAGTTGTTGGATGTGACTGTTGTGGTTCTCTGGATTAGGGAGGCACAGTGCTTGATCTGCAGATGGCAAACTCCAGGTGTCTCTGGTGAAGTTCAAAGATCAGTCTGTCATGCACCTTGGGAACCATCTCAGGCTCTTCCTGCCCTGCAGGGATGGGATTTTCTCTTTGCCTCAGTTCTTGTTCAAGTAAAGACAGACATACTGATGTGTTTATAGGAGAATTTTTATGATATCTTGAAGTGTTGCTTCCCATCTGTGGGAATGCGGAGTGGTTGGTTCTTGTGGAATACAGGCTGTGAGCTTGTGTGTTGAGTGAAGCATATGTGATTGAGGTTAGTGGCTTACAGACCTGGGCAGCTGGGCTGCCTTGGGGGCAGCCAGACCCCTTATGCTGTTCTCTTTCACATGGTGTTAATGATTAGGAGCCTTTAGATCCTCTCTCTAAAAGGCTGTCAGGAGCAGATCAGCCATCCGTGGCTCAGTAATTGCTAGTCAAATGCATGTTTGGGCTATCTTGCAAAATCCTATTTAGAAAACCTGAAGGCTGCAGTAACTAGCACAGTGGAGTAGTGCCTGCCAGTACCACTGTCCCCTTATCTTGTGCTCATTCTGTGTCATGGATTAATGCCAGCTGGTGCTGGGTGGAGGTGGTATGGCTCTTGTCACAGCCAGGTCCAGGGATGGCTGAGGAACAGCGTGGGGGAAGTGTCTCTGACTCCTCACAGGCCACACTATTCTGTCTTGCAGGGCAATGTGTATGTGAAATGTCCCTCCATCGCTGCTGCCATCGCGGCTGTCAATGCTTTGCATGGGAGGTGGTTTGCAGGTGAGTGTTCCATGTACATGCCTACATTTAGCCGTCCATTACAGAAGTGACCAAACACTGATGTTTACTTTTTTTCTCTTGTGATTAGGTAAAATGATTACAGCAGCGTATGTACCTCTTCCAACATACCACAGCCTTTTCCCAGACTCTATGACTGCAACCCAACTACTGGTTCCTGTTCGACGATGAAGATTAATTTAGTCAGTTTTGTACATAGGTATTTTTTGGAGGAAGATTGAGTTATCTTTTATTTAGATAAAACTAAAGGAAAGGATTTAATGTCATTTTGTGTACACTTCCTGCTATCTTTAAAAATAAAATGAAGTAAGCAGAAATGCAGTGTGTTCATTCTCCCTTACTAGCATTTCCACTGTATACAAAGCTGTTGACTTCTTGTTCTGCCTTGTAATTCTTGTACATTGACAAAGGTGATCCGTAGGAACTGAGAAGTAGCTCATAGATAACAAGTACTCCGTAAAAGGCAGATGGGACATAATGACATTTTTAATGTTTCATGAGCCTTTCTTTTAATGCAGCAAAGACATTTTACATTTCACTAAATGTGGGTGATCTGCTCAAGGGTAGTATCAGAGAGAGACTGAATGAAGGGACATATTTAGTGTTTTTGTATAAATGGAAAATTCAAAAAGCTACTGAATGCTGACTGCAGACAGCTACTCAGCTTGCTTTGTGCTGAATAATTGGTAAGAATAGGAGGATTGAAGGGTTTTATTTCTTGATGGTAACTTTTGATTATTGTATCTGTAAAAGTTTCTTTGTAAATACTGTGAGGTGTGTCTAAGTTTCCAAACAAAACATCTCTGCATTTCCAAATGAGTTTCCACAGGCACAGTGGGGCAGAGCTGGAGGATTTCAGCCAAGTCTGAAAATGGGTAGGAAATACAGAAAAGTGTTTTGTTCTGGTTGCATATAATCTTTGCTCTTTTTAAGCTCTGTGAGCTCTGAAATATATTTTTGGGTTACTTCAGTGTGTTTGACAAGACAGCTTGATATTTCTATCAAAGACTTTCATATTGCAACAATCTTTGTAAGAACCACTCAAATAAAATTCTCTTAAAAAGGCCTTAATGAAGTTTTATTTCTCTGCTCTCCCAATGTGACTTTAGGCAGTGTGTGCTGAGGCCTGGAGGTGAGTGATAAATGCTGTCCAGTGCCCAGTATCTGGGATATGACTACACAGTATGCAGATAGGCCATGGGATATCATGTGCTCAGAGAGTAAATGCAGAAGCTGTTCCCAGCCCTTTGTGCAGTGTGGCCATGGTTGCTGAGGATCTGGGGACAAGTCTTACCCTCCTCAGGCGTGCTTAAAGTTCAGAGACAAACCCATCCTGCCCATCTCCACTCCCATCCTTAGGGTAGAGAGTCCTGGGGCTGGAGGAGCCAGTTACGTTTGCTTTCAGTCTGGTTTCTAGAGGCAACCTGTCCCTGTGCTTTGCCCGTTTTACCCCTGTCCCATCTCCCTGGCCTTTTTAACCACTAAGAAAAGACCAAGGTGGAGAGAGTAGGGAGAGCAGAACATTCCTCGGGAGTGGGTAAAGGTGGGGCAGGCAGCAGTGCTGCTGGTGTTCCATAGTATTGTGGGGAGAGGATCTGCTCTGCAGCCTCTGGGGCTGTAGCTGTCCTTGAGCTGCAGTGCAGCAGTGCCTGTCCTTCACCAAAGAACTGAGACCAAGCAAAAGGCAAAGGTGGAGAGGGGCTGGGAATACAGCAGGATCCTGGGAATAGTAACACAGCTGAAGAAGTAGAGCTGGCTCTAGGTGTGCTTTATCTGAGAACAGGCTTTGAGTTGTGAGTTTGTGTTTCTGCCCTAAAAACTGGGGAAAAGGCACTTGTAACAGGCCCAGGCTGTACAGGTGCCAGTTGAGGTAGTGCTGTTGCTCACATCTTTCTTACACAGAACTAAAGGAGGAGCAGAAAGAGGCCTTATTTCAATGGAAGACTATAGCACCCAATACCTTTCCTAGATCAACTGTAGGCAGTGCTTCTGGAGCTGGGGAGAAGCAGGAGGGATTCCCCTGTTCTCCTAGGGAAGTCCTGACTATCTTGTACGCCTGCTAAACCAGAATGAAAGAAAAGGCTTTGTTTCTGGGAGAACAGGTCTTGTGGGAGCTGCCTGAATCCTGGGGTCCCTAACACTGTTGAGGGCATCTGCCCCGTGACACTTGAAACTCAGAAACGGGACCAGCTTCAACCCACCTATTTTTGCAAGAGGACAGAAATTTGATGATTAATCTGAAGTACCCACCATCTAACTTTCCTAGACTCAGGAATGCAAGGCGGAACAAAGCAGCTCCACATCCACATCGGCAATATCAGCTGCCCAAGTGCCAAAGGGAGAAACTTGTGTGGTGTACTTGTATCTGTAAATCAGGAACTTCAGTGTAGTAAAAATGATTATTAATTCTCATTGTTTTGGGAGAAAGAGACGGGAAGAAAGTAGAAATTTTGTAAAACGCATGCTTACAATCAGCAGAGCACAGAGGGAAGAACTCTGCTGTTTCATGAAGAGCTCTCACTTCCAGGTATCTAAAGATTTTATTATTGTACAGCAGAGGAATGGCTGGTGGAGGAACTCTGGGATAAATCCCAAACTCCAGATTAGCAGCGTATTCCCATACCAATGGCCATGAATGTCCCAAACGTCCCACCGCTTTGCATCATCGTTTTGCCAACTCCACCCATCAGCTCTCGTCCTCTCATGCCAATCCTGAGATAAAGAAAATCACAGGCATTATATAAAAGCTGAAACCTGACAGATCACAGACATGCAGCAGAAAACATCTGAGACAACCAGCTCATGGTTGCAAACTGAACACTTCTTCAGTCTTTATGTGTGCAATTGTACAGCTGCCTCCCCAGAGACTGGCTGCAGTGCCCTGTGCTACTGCAGGGGCTCTTTGGTGGCCCTCACCTCACATGGCCCATGTGTATTTTTTCCTGCAGTGGAACCTTCCTGCCACACCTTTAGCAGGAACAGCTTTCCATCCTGGTCTCCTAAATACCCTTAATACAGGAAAAAAAAAAAGCTGTCCAAGTATTTCACTTGCCAGAGTACAAAAAGAATTGTCTGAGTGTAGCCATGATATTTTAGTGAAAAAGCCTCTGTTGGGATTTTTCCTGTCCTGAGGAGCTGAGAGCCTCAGGAAAGAAATGTAAACAATAACTATCTGCTGCTGTGGAAGGCCACAGGTGCATCTTGCATTGGTCCATGTGGATTGTTTTCAATCAGTGACCAATCACAGCTACCTGTGCCAAGGCTGTGAGCAGTCACAGGATTTTTGTTATTCATTCTATTCTATTCTTGTCTTTGTAGCCTTCTGATCTTCTTCTCTCTGTTCTTTTAGTATAGTTGTAATGTAGTATTTTAATATAATATATAACATAATAAATCAGCCTTCTGATGAAAATGGAGTCAAACCTCATGTCCTCACACAAGGGGCAGCCTAAACAACATCTGAGCTGTTGTACTGCCATCCTCTCTAGCTGCAGTGGCAGTCTCTTTAATATCACCAATTTAAAATAAACTTTCTATTTACTACTGACTCTGTGTTTTTAATATGGGATACCTGAAAGTCCTAGAAACTTCAAAAGGTGTTTCTGTTCTCCATTTTTCACTTACCTGAGGTCAGACTAAAACAAAAGGAATTTTTCTGTCTCAAGAAGCTCTTGTTATATTTGGCTTTTAAACACTGCACTGACTTTAGGGTCTAAGGAATTTCATGCACTTGATTCTTAAAACATGAGATTTTCCCTCAAAAATGGAACAGCAGTACTGTAGCTGCGTCATTCAAGTGTAACAGAACCACTCTCGCTGGTTCTTCTACATGCCCTTAATGTATATCTTCTGCCAGCATCATGCTGCTTACCCTCTGGGAACTGAGAGAGACTAGAAAACTTCAAACTCCCATTGGATTAAGATTTGTGCATTTTCCTCCTTCACCACACTACCAAATCATCTCCCATGTTTAATCACAGGTAAAACCCATCACACACTAAGAGTTCTGCAAAGCATGAAAGAGCAGACTTCAGTGACTCTTTGTCACAGATGATGTGCAAAGCCAGTCAACAGTACCAGAGCAAACACAGAGCAACAAACAGCTTGTTTTCATGGCAGCATGCTTCCAGGGGAAGGTGAAATATTGTCCCTCTCCATTGCACAGTGGGACTGTGCCAATGCCAGCCATGGGTCTACCCACACTCCTGCCATTCAGACTCGGGCAGTTTGGTAACTGCCTCTGTGCAGGGCATGGGACACACAGAGGGACCACGACGCAGACACTGAGAGCTTACAGAGCACCTCAGGAAGATTTAGGGCCAGGAGAGGGCTGCACATGTATCTACATGGGCAATAATTCATCTGGTTCCTCCTGGAGGTGATCCTCCACAGCCTGGGCTTCCCAATGAACCTCCCTTACAAGAGGCAAGAAAAGGTCTGTGAAACTGTGACCTCCTGGCATACAGGGCACCCAGAGGTGATGCCCTGCCAGCATCAGACTCACATGTTGTAGGCCAGGGGCTTACTGCAGTAGCTGGGAGTCACAAAGTTCCACTCATGGGACTGGCACAGGACCAGACCCAATCCCTTCCCAACCCCACAGCATGACCATTTCTCTCTGGCTGTCTCCCTGTCACCACTTGTCTGTGGGAGCCATTTCCTTGCGTACCTGAGGCAGGAAAATGTGCCGAACAGTGCTCCTGCAGCCATGCCCACTGCAAAGCCCATCATGAAACCCATCTTTATTCTGTCAAAGCAGCTGGGCTGCGACCGCCCATATGGGCCCACGGTCACAGGCATCTAAAAAAGAAAGGAACAATACACATATCGATTTACTGCTTTGTCTAACATACTTCTATAACCAAACAGGGCTGGCAGGCAGGCCGTGCAGCTCAGAGCTTCTCGTGCATGCAGCGCTGGAGGTTGTGCTGGCTCCCAGGCTTGTTTCTTTGCTTGTCAGGTAGGAAGAACAAAGAGGGAACGACGACTACGCTTCCTCTCAACAATTTCCTGCGGGCGCCGCTGTGGCTGCCGAGGCCTCACCCTGTGCTCTCAGTCCCTAGTGAGCAGCACACGCGGCATCTGACCGAGCCTCCGCTGCTGGCTCGACCTTCCCGGCTGCCGCTGGCTTCGGAGGCAGAGGAGCGGGCAGTGAACCCACCCTTACGGACACCGAGGCCAGGCCGCGGACTCCCCGGGAACGGCAGCCATCGCCGTTGCGAGGCGCAAGAGCCCTCGGAGGCGAACCGGGGCCCCACCGCGCGCTTCACTTTACCAGCAGCCCGAGCCCGCCCCGTTCCTGTTCCCGTTGCGGGCCCCCGCCCCGCCCGTACCTCGCTAGGCCGCACCGCGCCTCCGCCTGTCTGGGCCCCGCTTCCGGCGCGCGCCGTGACGCACAGGAAGAGGCGGGTACGCCCGCGCCCTGTGCGTCGGGGGCTATGCTGCTGTGGCGGCGCTTGGCGGCCCTGAGGGGCCAGCGAGCCCCGCGGCGGCTCCGAGCGGGGGGACCGGGACCGAGACCTGGACCTGGACCTGGATCGGGATCGGGACCGGGACCGGAACCGGGTAAGGCCGCGGTCGGGCGGAGCCCTTGTCCGGGCAGGGACAGCTCCCCCGCTGCTGCCGGCCCCTGACAGCAGTTTTCCCCCTGTTCTCCCCTCAGGGCGAACCAGCGATGGCGGCAGTGCTTCTCGGCCGCTTTACATGGATGTCCAGGCTACCACCCCGCTGGTAAGGGCCGTAGCGAGCACGGGAAGCGGAGCGTGGTCCCCACACTCCCAGTTCTCTTGCCTGAGCGCTCTCGTGTGTCCCGAGCTGCCGTGGGTGACAGAGGCGGCGTTCGGCGCCGCCTGTAGCGACACAGGCTGTTCCTGTCACCACAGGGCGGTCCGGGCATCCCCCGAAGGGCTGTAGCTACGCCGGGGCAGCCCCCTGGATGGGCACCCCCAGTGCCGCAGGGCAGGAGCGTGGCGGAGCCGCGAAGGGGCTCGCACCGACCCCTGCGGGAATGGATACAGTTGAGAGAAGCAGGAAGTGAATTCAGCCGAAATACTGATCTGACGTTTTTCTGAACATTTTAAGACCTTGTATTTTTTCCGCTCAGAAGATAGGGCAGGTTGGATGGGGCTTGGAGCGACCTGACCTACTGGAAGGTGTGTCCCTGTCCGTGGTAGGGGTGTAGAGCAAGATAAGCTTTGAAATATTTTCCAACTCAAACTGGTCTGTGATTCTGTTTTCTCAAATGATGTTGTTCTTCTTTGACCTTCAGTGCAGATCAGGGTTATGTGCACAGAACATAACTGCCAAATACTTGTGTTACACGTCACATGTAATGGCTTCAAGTTTTCAAGGTCATGCCGAAGCTAAAGCAAGACACTGCCACAGAAGTGCTGCTGATACTGTGTCAAGGGGGCATGTCCAGAGAGAAGCTATATGGTTTCCCTTCTCCTTTTCTAAGGCTGTGTGGTTTGTGTTCCACAGGATCCCAGAGTCCTGGACAGCATGCTTCCATACCTAACAGCCTACTATGGCAACCCCCACTCCAGAACTCACGCCTACGGCTGGGAGAGCGAGGCTGCCATGGAGAAAGCGAGGCGGGTGAGTCTTTGACTCTCCACGGTCATGTTGGTTTTCCTGCTGTTGAGGCAAATCAGGGTCAAAAGAACCTGAAGAAAAAAACCCCTGTTCTCTGTGGGCTGGATTTAGCAGTTTCCTCTTTACTTAGCTGTACTTCAGTAGATTTATTGCAGGAAAAGATAGACTCATGGAATACTTCAAGTTGGAAGGGACCAACAAGGATCATCAAGTCCAATCCTGGCCCTGCACAGGATACCCCAACAATCCCACCACATACCTGATAGCATTGTCCAAACACTCCTTGAATTATAGCAGGCTTAAGGCTGTAACCACTTCCTTGGGGAGCCTGTTCCAGTGCCTGACCACCCTCTGGGTAAAAAACTTTTTTCCTAATGTCCAGCCTGCACTTCCTCAACACAGCTCTATCTGTTTTTTCAAGCCCTGTCATTGGTCACTGAGAGCAGAGCGCTGCCTCTCTGATGCCCCTCATGAGGAAGCTGCAGCCCCCAGAGAGGTCTGACCTCAGTTTCCTCTCCTTCAGACTGAGAGAACCAAATGACCTCAGCTGTTTGTTTTACAGACTCTCCTCTAGGCCCTTAACCATTTCATGGCTCTCCCCTGGATGTTCTCTAATAACTTTATATCCTTATATAGATTTGCCCCAGACTGCCCCCAGGACTCGAGGTGAGGCCTCCCCAGTGCAGAGCAGAGCAGGACAGTCACTCCCTTGCTCGTTGGCAATGCTGGGCCCGATGTCCCCCAGGACAGGCTGGCACTTGGGGCTGCCAGGGCACTGCTGGCTCCTGTTCCACTTGCCCTCAGCCTAAACTTCCAGGTCTCTTTCTGTGGTGCTGCTCTCCAGCCTCTTGTTCCTCAGTCTGCCTGGACTCCCAGGGTTCTCCAGTCCCCAGTGCAGAAGCCGGCACTTGCTCCAACAGTGAGATTAGAGCAACTGAAATGGCAGAAAACAATACTTTAAGTAAACGTGCCCCAGTATTTGTTTCCTGGAGTCACAAGCATATTGCTGCGGTCATTGGACTAACTCCATATCTTGTCATTCTTCTAATCTTAAGCAAGGATGTTTGTAATTTCTTTGAAGTAATATGTAATGGATTTTTGTCTCCTTAAGCTTTTATCTCTGTTATAACAGGTTGATGCTTAATACTGCTTCTAATGACTATGGATTCCTTGTGTATTTTATAATTCAGATATCTGGATTATTTTTAGCATAATTTTGTTAGGTACCAGCTGTAAACCTTTGAAGCTCAAGGGAGTATTCTTGAAAACATTCACATGTATTTTGCTATAATGAATTTATTGTATGTTTTCTTAACAAGTCAAATTTGTATTTCTTTTTAAACAGCAAGTTGCAGATTTAATAGGAGCTGATTCACGGGAAATTATATTTACCAGTGGTGCAACAGAATCCAATAATATGGCAATTAAGGTAAAAAGTTTATACTGATTCTTATTTATTATGTTAAAATTTTGTATTTAGGAACTGTATGCATCTTTCAACAATTTAAATGTTAATATGTTGAAGTATAACATATTTGCATTTCTGGAGTAACTTTTTGTGATACTCTGTTACCAATGTGGAGGAAATACATGGATGAATGTTTTGATGCCTGTGACATGATTTTGAGTGCAGTGTAAAATATTTGGTATTTATTTCACATGCACTAAATACACTCCTTCTGCTTATGTAATTAAAATATTTATTGTAAAATATAGTGGACATGCAGATTAGAAACTTTTTTCTGATTAAGACTAAACTTCTCAGTGTTTATGACTCCAGTGCTAAAGTTTTCAAAAAAATGCTTTGGTTAATGGCTTCTACATCTTAACAGCAATAAACATTTTCACAGAGTTTTTGAGAAGATGCTCTGAAAAGCAGGTGCTGATGGAGATAGGTAGTGTGGATTATATGTCAGTACCTTTTAGTACTTTCACGACTTGGGTCAAACAGGAAAGATCCAAATGAACTATATCTAAGTAGTAATTTCTTATTTGCAATCACATTGTGTAATGCCTGCTTTCTTCAATGGCAAATTTCTTTTTCATGGACTGTGCCTGACAGGGTGTTGCAAGGTTCTATAAATCCAGAAAAAAGCATATCATTACTACGCAAACAGAGCACAAGTGTGTGTTGGATTCTTGTCGTTCCCTGGAAACAGAAGGTTTTCACATCACATATCTACCCGTTAAAAAAAATGGGCTGATAGATCTGAAGGTAAGTTGTTACTGAGAGAAAGAAACTAAAATAAGAGGTTTTTGCTTCAAATTGATGCTCAAAACCTTGTGTCTTCTAGATGAAAAAGAGGAAAGGATAATAAATATCACCAAGTAAAATGAGAATCATAGTCAAATCTGTCAGATCTGGAGAAGGATTTTCTGTTCTGTCTAACATCCTACACTTTTTCTCAGCCAGAACATCCACCTCCTGTCCCACCGTTCAGCTGCTGCTGTGCAGGTGGAGCTGTTGAGTACCCTATAAGGAGCCCAATATTTGAGGCACTGTTTCAGTGATCACAGTACTTCCTATGGCTGTCCATGAGCCAGCCCTTCTGTATGTACTGGCTGCAGCCCTAAAACTTAGAAGTTGTATGTTTTTAGTTCATTGTTGACATCCTGTAGCACAGGGCAGCAACAGCTTTATTCCCAGTCCCTCCCCTGCCATGGAGAGCGGTAGTGTGTGTGATGGGACTGAGGGATCAGCCTGTGGGCACAGTAATGAGTTGTGTTTTCTGAGCATCTTGCTGCAGGTGTGATGTGACTTTGTCTAAAGAGCAGTTCCTTTACAGCCTGCCTCACCTTGGCTAGAAGAGGCTTAAGTTATACTGTGGGTGGTTAATTCATTAAAGAAGATAGTTCAGAGACATTTACGGGATATAGCAAAGTCTGTTGAGATTTGATTTAATCAATTGGGGTGCCAGGTGCATTGAAGGGTTAGGACCTGCAGAAACACAATTGATTCGCTCCTCTTCCTACAGCCATTTAATGTTCATGTGGGTTGGTGTTTTCCCCAGGGCTGTTTGTCAGAACCCCAGGTGTTTGTTGCAAATAAGGGACTGGTGGTTGAGTTGCTGGTAAATTGAACATGTGCACAGGAATCCTTCTTCTCTGTTAGTCACAACTCTTGTCTTTCTGAATCTTTCATCAGGAACTGGAGGCTGCATTCCAGCCCGATACAAGTTTGGTTTCTGTAATGACTGTTAATAATGAAATAGGAGTAAAGCAGCCAATTCATGACATTGGTAAGTACACTGTGTCTTCTAGATGCCAGCTAAGGTTGCTTCTGCTTCATTTTAGATAATGTTTTCATCCCTAAATGGTACCAATGCAAAAGATTAGGTGTAATATAGCTAAGGAAAAAATAATAACATAAATGTTTTAAAATAAAAGATGTAATATAAATAAATAATACTGCTGTCCCAAATAAAAACTGATTTCAAAAGGGAAATGTGAATGAAATTCAGTACTTTTATGGTGAGCATTGCAGCAGTCATTGCTCTGGATGGATCAGCTGCAATTCATTGGATTGTATGATGGATTAAAAATACTGTACAGAATAACTGGCCAAAATTGAGCTTATATACTATAAAGATTTATTGAGTGCTTGTAGTGTTTAAGAGGAGAAATGTGCAGGATTTGGAGTGGGAGAGGATGGTGAGCACCACACTTGGACAATCCTTCCCCTAGTATTGTTGTATATAGTCATGAACAGTTGCTTTGTAGGCCAGAAGCCTACTGAAGAGCTGTGCTTCTGGAACAGGAGGCAGGGAGAGGGTGAGCCAGACTCTGAGCCGGCAGGTGGAGTGACAGGGACCTCAGAGTAAATTAAGGGAGACCCTGGAAAACCACGGTTGTTGGAACAAGCAGGGTTATTGATGACCCTCCAGATCCCTGGATCCCAGATGATCTGTTGATAGTTTCCTGTGACAGTAGCAAAACATATACACATACCCTTTCTGACCTGGTTTCACCCCAGCTGGCAACCAAGCATCTTGCAGCCACTCACTCACTCCCCCACCATCAGGACTGGGGAGGCAATTGGAATGGTAAAAGATAGAAAACTCATGGGTTAAGATAAAGGCAGTCTAATATGGAAAGCAAAAACCACACACACAAGCAAAGAAAAACAAAAAATTCTGTACTGCTTCTCATGGGCAGGCAGGTGTTCATCCACCTCCAGGAGAGCAGGGCCCCATCCCATGCAGTGGTAACTTGGGAAGACAAACAGCTTTATGCCAAACGTCTCCCCCTTCCACCTTCTTCCTCCCACTTTTCTATACTGAAAGTGCATGGCATATGTCATATGGTCTGAAATATCCCTTTGGTAAGTTTGAGTCACCTGTCCTGGGTGTGTTTCTTCCCAGCCTCTCACGTACCCCCAGCTCTCTTTCCAGTGTGTCCATAGAAGGGGGCAGAAGAGGCCTTGGCTCTGTGCAAGCCCTGGTCAGCAATCTCAGAAACATCTATTATTATCCCTGTGTTCAGCACAAATCCAAAACACAGACCTGTAGTAGCCACTGTGAAGAAAGTTAGCTCTACCCCAGCCAAAACCAGCACACCTTCATATTCAAGATATCCTCTTATAAGGTGTTTGAAATTTTGGACAATATTTTGGCTTTGGCTTTGCTCTGGAGTACATACTCCATAAGTATTGTTTTCTTAGGCTGTGCCAGGCATCTTGTTGTGCACCTGGTTTTCTTACTTAGCTGCTGAATTTATTTCTTTCTTCTATAAGCTCAAAGCAGCATTTTTGCAAAGGTTTTTCAAGGTTGGTTCTGTTTCTTCATTGACAAGTATTTGACCATCAGTGAGTTGCTTATAGCCCCAAGGATTCTTATTTTCCTCCTGTGCTTATATTGTCGAGGTCCTTACTATGGTCCCGTGTTTAAATGTCAGAGACAGCTGGTGCCAGCTCTAGTTCCCCTGCTATGTTCTCATAACACCTTGAACAGGTCCAACACGCCAGGCCTGAGGCCTTGCAGAGGGAGCCTGAGGCCTGTTGCTGTGTGGCTTGTGGCCTGACCTTGCTGGACCGCAGGGAGGGTTACTTATCCTGTGAAGTACCATGTTGAACCTCTTGTGCAGAGGAGAGGTCTCAGATGCAGCTGTGCAGATTCTGTGGAAGGTGTGTTGTGATTTTTTTAATGACACAAATAAATAATAGTTACGTTTACTGCCCATGAACAATACATTATTTCTTCATATGTTTTAGCCTGATGACAGGCTCAGATGACTTCATGTGGTAGTAATAAGTGTGTGTGTGACAATTCTGAGAATGGTTTTGAATCTGAGTGTTGGAAACTTGGAAAATAGAGGGAATGACATGAAAATACATGGCAAATACAAACTTGAAAGGAAGGCTGTCCTGTACTGGATGTTGAAGAGAAAAAGAACCAAGAAAAAACAATTTTTTCCAACTGTGGAGTCATTCCTGTGTGGAGACTTTGATATTTCATGCAACCATTTGTTCTTAAATTTGTTAGGCGTGGGTTTGGAAATAATCTCAGTTCTTAACAGAAGACTTTTTAACTTCTCAACTGGAGAAATTTACTGTAGTCTTACCTGTCTACACCTGTGCCAAGGCATACAGTAGTCCCTGCATACCTTTAGCCACTTCAGTATAAAAGGAACATCAGAGCCCCCCTCATTTCTGCCTTTGTCAGCTCAGATACCTCAAAGACTTACTGTTGGTTCAGATTCAGTCATGCTTTAGATCCATTGCTGGAATCTTTGGTATCATAGCAATTAGTTAAGGTAATCTGGTTTTGGTTTGGTGTTTTTATTACAGGTGAGATCTGCCGTGCACGTAAGGTTTTCTTCCACACGGATGCTGCACAAGCGATTGGTAAAATTCCTATGGACGTCAACAACATGAAAATTGACCTAATGAGCATCAGTGGCCATAAAATTTATGGGCCCAAAGGTACCAACTGAAGTGATTTATAGGGAATTGTTGTTTTCATACCTACCTTAAGGTAACTACACAAGATGCAAAGTCAAACCTGTTTGTCATAGTGTCAGTTACTTAAGCTGTAGAAAACTCTTCTGAATGGTGTTGGACAGACTTCAGAGTAGTTCAGGCACTCCTGCCAGCGTAGAGCTGTGGTAAGTGGATCTTCAATGCTAGATGGGTTGAGCTGGCTTCACTGAAGGAAGAAACAGTGTTGTATGATGGTGGCAGCATTGCAGCAGTGGGTTTTTCAGGAGTCATCTGCTTCTGATGTGAAGCAGAACTAATGCTGAAATTATTGAAATGAAATCACTTGGTTATAGGGCAAAGTTTAGACCAGAGTGTGATTTGAAACAAGGAGACCAAAAGCTAACTGATTGGTGATTTTTGATTGTTTTCTACTTCCAGGGGCTCCATTCCCTCAACTCCATTTGTGCATTTTCTTTGCAGAGTGAGGTTTAATATTCAGCCATGCATTTTCTGGTTGACTGACAAATACTAAAAATCCAGCTATTGTTATTGTCAAGGTCCATTTGGCTTGTGACAGTGGATGTTAGAGAGCCTGAAATCAGCTTTGCTGTATGCTATACACACAGCATTTTAACTTACAACATTATAACATTATATATATATAACTTGTAACTTCTGTTATCCTATTCAGAAACAAAAAACAAATTCTTATTTTTCAACAAGGCTTTTTTTTTTGTATGAGTTCTGCTGAGAGCTGAAGACATTATCTCTGGACAAGGACTAAGTTTTCAACTAGTAATTTTGAACAGATGACAGACATAAATTTTCACCATTTGTTATACCTGGAAGTTGCAACTGTCCTTCCTGTGTTGACAGTCATTCCTTAAGTGTACCAGGGCACTCGAAGACATGAAAATTTGGTTTCAAGGTGAGGAGAGTAGAGCACGAAATTGACTGATTAGCAAAACTGGATCATCTAATCCACCCGCTGAAAGTTGTTGCCACTAATTAGTCTTCCTAATGAGAAGAAAGGGAGAGGACTCCTAGGACTGGTGCTGGTCTAGTAATCCAGGGAAAGAATTTGGAAGTCAGTAAGAGAACATTGGTGAATGCCTATAAAAACTTCAGTGCAAGGGGCTGAACTTCAGCTGTGTACAGGAATTGTGGGAAGGAGAAGCTCTGAGTCCTTGGGTGATTGAGGCGGAGTGGAAGAAGCTGAGCTCCTATGGCTGAAGCTCTGTGAGCCTCAACATGGTTACTGGGGACAAACACCATTTCCTAGAAAATAATACTGAACTTGTTCACTTTATTTTTCTCCAGTTAAGTGTCCATATGTGTGTTTGCTGTGGAAATAAGGAATGTTACCAAAGGCTGGAGTCCCTGTTCATAATTTCAGAACTCTGGGGGTATGGTAAAACAGCTTTCCTTGTTCCAAGGGGTTGGTGCTCTCTATGTTCGCCGTCGACCACGTGTGAGGCTAGAACCCCTGCAGAGTGGGGGAGGCCAGGAGAGAGGACTGCGGTCTGGGACTGTGCCCACACCTCTAGCAGTGGGACTGGGGGCAGCATGTGAAGTGGCACAGCAAGAGATGGAGGTATGTGCAAGAAGATACTTGTCCTGGGTTCCAGAAAGTAGTGTAACAGTGCCATTTAAGTCTTGGATTCCTTAGGTCTTTTTGCATCCATGTAACTGAATTAAATTTGATTTTCATGTTTTAGCATTAAGTGAATGTTTTGAGAATTTAAGGGATGTTTTTGGGTAATTGTAAGACCTTTCTAAAGTTTCTTTTTTCTTGAAGAGTCATAGTTTTCTACAAAAAGGCTACAATTGACAGTCAGTTTTAGTGAAATATGGCTTTTATGTGCTTGTATTTACTTCTTCATTATGCACATGTGTATTAGCAACATCTTTGAAATCACTGTAATGTTTATGTAATATATATTGAAAAAATAAGACTTCCCAGTCTGTTATTATGTGTATTGTACCTATTAAGTATAATTTCAAGTTTACTGCAGCTTTGAAACTAAGAATTTATTTTCTTTCTTTTTTCCTAGCTTGGACAGTAAAGTTTACTTGCTAGGTCTGGTGTCTGAGCCTCTGTATGCTGCTGGTTTGTGGGCACCAATGCCTTCCTTACGGCTGGAATGTAAAAATACTTACAGTGGCAATGGGATGCATAGGCCAGATATCTGCACCCAAGGATCAGGCTTCTTTCCAGGAGACAGGCAGAATTCCACCATCTGAACTGTGTGGTTATGGAAGTTGAGGCTAGGGAGCCTGCAGAGTCTAAATTCTGCACAAACTTCCAATCTAGATTCTCTTTCTTGCCTGGCAGAGTTACAGCATTTTAAAACCAACTGGTGTTGGAGCTAGCCTGGATTTCTTTTTCAAGTGTAAACAAGCATGCACTGCATGTGTGCATGTGGCCAGTCCTGTGTGCCAAAGTTGATCCCACACCTTACTGCTTTCTTGGTATAAGTGACCTCATTTTTCAGTCTAGAGCAAGACACTGCACATGGGCAGTTCTCACCATGCAGGTTACTTCTTGTAAAAGCTGAGTTCATAGTTATTTGCAAGTCCATGTCTTTCTGTGGTACAGTTAGAGAGCTCCTGGAAGTAAGAGGCACTTGTCATAATAGATGTCCTTTCTTGTGTGCAAAATGCATCATCTTCTGCACTGCCTAACTTGTCTTTAAACCCAAAGAACCCAGTGCTGTTATGAAAGTCAGTTTGGCAGCTTGTGTAGGTAGATCTTTCTGAATGGTTTGAAGCATTTGTGAGGACTGAAATAGCTATGAGCCAAGGGGTTATTCTCTTTTAAAACAGTGTCTAGAGCAGACGAAGTCTGACAGTTTATATTTCAGCTGTGTTCATTCCCTTGTCTGGCCAAACCCAGTTACTTAATTCTGTGTGCAGCTGGTGACATGAAGAAGCAGTTTGAGTGAGGTCTGTACACTGTTTATTATTTGTGTCTTTTTTTGTTTCTCTGTTAGTATGACCATAAGCGAATCTCACAATTGGCAGAACGACTGGTTACAAAAATAATGAGTGAAGTTCCTCATGTGGTGATGAATGGAGATCAAGAGCATCGCTATCCAGGTAACTCAAGCAAAATTGTGAGCTTGTTAGTACTGTCTGGCTCCTTGGTGTTAGTGGCCATGGCTGAATAATGCACTGGAGCACATGATGCAAATCCTTGGCCTTGCAGGGGACAATTTGCCTGAGATTTCAGTTGATGGAATCTTTTTTCGATTTCATTTATTTGTATATAGGATGCATCAATTTATCTTTTGCATATGTGGAAGGGGAGAGTCTTCTGATGGCTCTGAAAGACGTGGCTCTGTCTTCAGGAAGGTATGTGGAATCTATGGGAAGGATAGCAGTGTATTTTTGAGAGAAAATAGCATCTGCTAATGAAGGTAAAAGCTAAGTAGTAGTTTCCTGTGTGCCCTGTATTTGTATATTCAGTTAATGAGTCAGCCTGGTATTGATTACATTCTACAGTGGTGTTTAAGTGACACATTTAAACTGAAGGTCAAATTTATTTATCCTGGAAGAAAAAAGCAACAAACAAAACTAAACAAAAACCAACCAAAAATATCCTAACAAAAAGACCCCCACAAAACCACAAAAACTAACCCAGAAATTCCTACCTACTAGCCTTGCAAACTGGTTATTTGAGTAGCCTTAACTTTTACTGGTGACACTTTTGTTCTAAAGGCCACCAAGATTTGAACAGCTTCTGTCCTTTGGCAGATTTTTACTGCAGTTACTGAGGCTGGGCACATATCCGAATTAAATCAGCTCATAGTTCCTGTGTTAAATGCAAAAGTGGGAAAGAAAATTACATGTGTTTTTATGCAGCTCTCCTGACTACAGGAGTGATGAGTAATATTTCAGTTACCAAGACAAACCTGATGTTCAGGATGAAATTAATGGAGTGTAAAGATGCCCCTCCTCTCCTTCTCTCACTTTTGAGAACCAAGTGGTCAGCATATCCTAATTAGAAGCTAGCTGGCACTATGAGCAGGAAGAGCAAGTCTCCACATGACCATCCCTGAAGCCAAACGCTTCTGTAATGTGAAGATCTCTTTTGACTTTCTACTTTGTGCACTGGGGAGCTGTTTACAGCTCTCCAATTGGCACTGCATGTTGCTACCTGTAAAAACTGAGTCACAGTGTGTAACCAGATCTGTATACTGCTGCAAAGTGGAACTCTCTCTATTGACAACTGCAGTCATCTTGTTCTGGATCCCTCTGTACACTGTTTTTCATTTATTTGTTCTGCTGCCAAACACAGCTTGTAAAGTCTTTTTTTTTCCCTTTTATGTTCCTGGTGTTTTATCTTCTCTGGATAGTTTCTGTCTTTGTCTTTTTTTCATAGCCTCTACTTCAACTACCTCTTAATCTGCATTCCTGCTGCTTCTGTGTGGCATTGTGTTTATTCTTGTGTATTACCTGTATTCTCTGTCCTTTCCTTATACTCCTAATTTATTACTCTAATTTCTCAATAATGTCTGTGTCTTGTATTCTCTTTTCTTCAGTAGCAGAAATATCACTTTACTTGCTTGTATTCACTTCTGGTTTCTAGGAGGCTGGGGAAGTTGATACATGGTGTTGTAAAGAGGTAAGTGACCTATTCTTTGTTGGAGGAGATTAAGCAAAAGTCTGACATTTCCCTGCCTGCCCTTTCCCAGTGCTTGCACATCAGCTTCTCTGGAGCCTTCGTATGTTTTGCGGGCAATCGGAACAGATGAAGACTTGGCTCACTCATCTATAAGGTATGTGGTGTGGTCTGCCCTTATACTTCCAAATATTTTTCTTTCCTGATAAAAATAAATGGTAGATTTGTTCCACACCCTCCATATCCTTGTTATTCAGTTCCTTAATGATTTTCTTTTGGTTTAGGTTTGGTATTGGTCGTTTCACTACAGAAGAAGAAGTGGATTATACAGTGCAGAAGTGCATACAGCATGTGAAAAGGTTGAGGGAAATGAGGTGAGATGTTGTCTCATTAAACACGAAAACTTCTTAGGTGTGATAATCATGGGAAGAATTTGGTTTATTTAGTTGAAAGTAATTGTTTGCTTCAAGAATCTGGTGGTGTTTCTCTATATCAGCAACAGTGTCCCCCAGGTATGTAGGAGCCTGATTTTAACATTAGTGACAAATTTCTAAGGAAACAAACCTGACACCAAACCTTTTCCCAGATCCTGTTTTTATCAGAAAAAGAATATGATTAGGGCAGGCACATAGGGCAGTACCTTGGAGATTTTAAGCCAGAGATGGTATTCCTGAGCTAATGTATTGATAAGTTGTTTTATTCTAGTGAAATGGAAAGACTAGTGACTAATGTGGACAGTGAAAATGCTAGGATTCAGTCTCAGAGACACCAGTGCTTTATGCTGAAAGTAGGAGCAGGAAATGAGGTGGAGCATCTGCCCTCTCATCTCTTGTATTTTTGGTTGAGAGCACAGTTGAGGGCTGATCACCTGAAGCTCACGGATCTCCAGAAGGGCAAGACAGGCAGATTGACACAAGGAATTAAGATGTATCTTTGGTAAAATCTGTTTAATTATTGTTGATGATGTCCTGTGCATTTAAGCTAGCCCTCAGTTTTCTCCTTTTCTTTACAGTCCTCTCTGGGAAATGGTGCAGGATGGAATTGACCTCAAAAGCATTAAATGGACTCAGCACTGAGAAAACATTGCTATCCATGGACTAGATATAGATTAAAATGCATTTTTCTCTACAGTCTTGAGCAAATTTTGCAGTACTTCTGTTTTCTGACACTGCAGTTTGACCAGAGAACTACTCTTTCAGACCACAAAATCTAAGAAGCCAAAAATAAAACTGGTTTTTATCATGGAGAAAGGGAGGCTGATCCAACACCCACTGTGTTTCTATTGACACACAGAAATTTATGCTAAAGTGTAATTTATTCAGAAATGTATTTTCTAATGTGAAAATTAAATCAGCATGTTACTCCCAGGCCAGTGAATTCTGGCAAGAGGTTGCTTCTCGGTGTAATTCATCCCAAGTCACTGTTGTGTTTGCACCACAGACCTGTTGCCAATTTGTTCTGTTTGATGTGGGTATCCTGCAACATCAGCTGGGTTTTGCCTCTCAAATGCCTTGTACTGCAAGAAATTTTCAGATAGGAGGACACTTGGATTTCTAGAGGAAAGTGATGCCTCAGTGTGGCTATGTGCCTTCACAGATAAGTTTTATGCGTAGTTAAGAACAACTTTTTTTCTGAAATTGAGTAGTTTTGGCTTATTTTCCTTGGGGTTTTTTGAGTGTGCATCTTTTGTGTGTGTATGTGCACTAATTCAAAAGATTCTTCTGTGTTCCAGAGTTTATGATACAATCATGATGCACTTTGCTGTCCCCTCCATTGGGTTTTTTCTATGCAATTTTTTTCTCAGTGAGGATAGAAAACTTGAATGACTGGGGGAGGGGATAAGCAGAATATGTCAGCTTTGATGGCAGCACCAGTTTGGTGAGAGCATGAGTGGTAGAGGTGGTGGGGAGAGCAGATGCAGTGCAATGTCTTAAGGCAGTCTGGGGTTTTGGGGTTTTTTTTCTTGTTTTTTTTTTTTCTCCCCTTGTCATGAGACCTTTATTGTTACTTGGTTTGCCTATGGGCCCTTGGTTTCTGTCCCTGCAAGGAGTCTGCCCAGCTCAGCCAGTATATTTTGTCTGGAGATAGGAAAGATAAGAACACCTGGCACTGAAGTTTTCTTTGTCTCACAGACTGTACTGTCTGACTTGAGATTCTCATGGGAATCCATTCCCTGCACATGCTGGGGGAAGTAAGTATCTGTTAAAAAGGGTTTGATGAGTTTAATTTCTATCAGTGTTTCTCCTTTCTTACCTTTGGTGATCTTTCCAGTAAGAAACTGAACCCTGTATGGCAAAGTGCCTTTTTTTTCAGTGCATAAACAAAGAGCTCCCAAATTAGTTGTGTTGATTGATGGATGCTGCGTTAGCTGCTGAATTTGGTATACCCCATAGACAATATGTTCATCTTCAGATTGGGATGGAATCTTCTTCAAGGATCAACCGTGTCATGTAAAAGCTGAAGCTGAATTTCACAAGATGGCTTGTATTACAGAAGCTTGTGCATTTTTTGTAACTAAGGACAGATTTAGTTGTTTGTAATGCAAAGCTAATCCTTGGTTGTTCTATTTCAAATTACTAGCTTTAGCAGTTTTAATATTGTAGTGCTGGCACCTTATATTTCATCACAATAGTTTTTAAACCATATGCATAAATATGTTTTAGTGGTGTTGTATGTACTCTTTTTCATCCTTGGGCCATACATATTTTCTGGATTAAGCATATGATAACATGCTTTCCTAGCATGTTTTAGAAATACATGTTTATGAATTGTTCTTTGTGTTTTGAGAGTGATAAAAAATTACAGATAAGAATTAAACTTGGCTACTGTCAGTCTTTTTGGATCCACCTTTTTGGGTGAACCATGCAGGACAATCAGTAAGTTGCTGTATTGCAGCTTTCATTAGGCACCAGAAAAGGATAAACTTTTCTATGAACATTGTAAGAAGTTTGCCATCATCGAGTCGACATTTGACTTTTGACTTTTGAAGAGTCATTCTTCTCAAACTCAGCGCCTATTCTGAGCTAATTTTTTTTAAACTCAAATAACTTAAATTGTGGTTCTTTTGACAAAAGTGAGCCTCAAATCTTGAAGATTCTGACCCCCTCTTATTTGATAAGATATAAAATAAAAATTCTACATGTAAAGCTTAAGGAAAGTCATTCATACTAGTAACAAATGTTTATTTGAAATGTTTATGGGACAAGATGAGGAAAAATGTATAGTGGAGATACATCCCCCATGACAGAAAGAAGTAATGGCAAGGATGAACATCTAGCTGTACCTCACTTAATGCAGTTAAAGCCTCTGGGGAATGGGAACTTGAGTCTATCCTACTCTTACCAGTTGGATGCCAATAAATGGTGGTGCATCATTCCCCCACCCCTAGGCTGCACCATGATCTCAAAACTGCTCACTAGACCTTGGCCTTGAACAGCCCTTGGCTTCAGCTCCTCTGGAACTTAGCAGAAAAACTGCTCTAGGAACTGGTGCCATATAATGAGCTCATGCTCTTCTTCTTTTTTCTTTTTCCTTAATGGCATAATATTCTTGTTCTCCTACTTTCAAAAAAGTTTCTGACCTGAAGTGGGGCCAGGATGAAACATTGTTGTGACTAAAGCCCATCTCTTGTGGCCCTGTAAACAGTGGCCCTGAGTGAGACCCTTGGGGCTTTCCATAGTTGCAGTGACCTCCCTGTGCTGGGGCCTCTCTGAGCTGGGAACTCTCCCATTTTCTGCACTCAGAGAATCCCCAAAGGATGGGTCCTGGGCCAATCCCCCTCCTTCTCAAAAGCTCTGCCCTTCACACAGTGAAAAAAACAAAGGCATCTGAAGTAAGAACCATTTCAGTTAGAACCATTCATGGTGCCTAGAGGGCAGGCTGTGATCATCTAATTAGCAACAGGGAGATGTGTTGGGGTGACTCTTGTGAGTGGAGGGCTGGAACAGAAGGATACAGGCAGGGGAGAAGAGAGGCAGTGTTGCTCTTTATGCCAGTGACCAGTAGAAGTGCATGGAGCTCCACCTGGGGATGAATGAGGAACTCACTGAGAGTTTAGGAGTCAGGATTGAATGGAGGGCAGGGACAGGTGACATCACAGAGGGGGTCCCCTGCGGGCCATCTGAGCAGGAAGATGAGCCATGAGGGTCATCACAGGCAAACAGGAATGACCTCATGTTTACAAGCCCTAGTTTTCATATGGGAATTTGTTATAAATGAAAAATAGCCAATTTCAATAAAAATAGAAAAATAAAATTTATTTTGCGACCGTAATACAGTCCCGACAGCCACCAACCAAATCGGACAGCGCACCACCCCCGGGAGGTGATGTGGGTGGACGTGAGATTGGCCTTGCCAGCACCAATTCTTCCCCATCCACACTGGCTGCTCCGGGGCAGCAGTTCTTATACAGTTTATTTTGCCCGCGGCAGAGTTTCTTTGTTTCTTTCTGAGTTTTTAATTTTCAAGTTTTTCATTTTCAAGCTGCATAAAGCCTTCGTCCGGGAATAGAATAATACACTTCCCCAATTCCCGGAATCTGGCATTCAAATGGAAGGTGTGGATTGTTAGGAATAGAAAGTTGTTTGTTTTTTTTTTTTTTGAGTTTCAGAGTTAGAAACAAGTCAGACCAGTCAGACCTCTTTGGTTTCGCTGCCAAAGAAAAGCTACTCAATTACCCATTAATGGCCAGTGATTAACTATTGTTTCCCTGATGCTGGTCGCTTGCCAAGAAGACACCGGGACAGACCCTCCAAGGTAAAGAGAATAGCAGTGACATCACAGCCAGTATGCAGATGAGAAATGCATTGCGCCCCAAATTTTTACAGTTTTTACAAGAAAAACCCCTAAGATCACGAGCCAACAAGTGACTTAAGTGACGTCTAAGGATGGGAGCGTAGTCCCGTACCTGCTTAGACCCTTTTTGCTTCTCACCCTAACCTGAAAAGATACTGATTAAAAAGACACCCCGGGGTGTTAAACAAACAAGCCAGGAATCTGCGACTCTCCCGTGAGGACGGAATCCCCAGCTCTGTCTGCAGACCAGCGGACAAAGCTGCATCACCCTCCTTCTCCGTGCCGCTCCTGGGAGCAGCGGCGGCGTGGGCGCGACCCGTCGATTTCTCCCCACCTGAGCTGATTCTTCTTAATAAAGGCATTAAAAAGGAGAAAGATCTCCTGCCCATTTATTTCATGGATGGCTCTGGTCATCTCAGGTAGGTATCTTGTCTGGGCCATCATCACTTGGGCGTCACTGGGTGCAGGTCCTTGTGAATGCCCATCTCCTGTGCAGCCGAGGTTTCCTTCACATGTAAACGTGGTGGTGCCTCTCTGCCCATGTGCAGCGGTTTCACCATCCTGGGGAAGAATTTCTCCCCCACTTCTGTGTACTAGCCATTTATTTTATACATATATATTTGATACATCTTTTATTTCCACAAATTACTAACCACATTTTTAACAGAATTCAACCACCCTGACATCTGCTGTGGGGAGAACCCAGCAGGGCACCCAGCAGGCAATCCAGGAGGTTCATGGAATATACTGATGTCAATTTCCTTCTCCAAGTGGTAGAGGAGACAATGAGGAGAGGTGCTATGCCACCATATTCTCACCAACAAGGACAGGCCAGTGGGGAATTGTTGTGTTTGTTATAAGTAAAAATGAAAATATGCCCAATTATAATAAAAATATAAAAAGAATCTCTTTCGCAAGCATAATACAGTCCTGACAGCCAACAATCAAAGGGACAGCATAACACTCCCGGGAGATAAGCTGGGTGAATGTGGATATGGCCTCTATCACACCAAGTCCCCCTCGTCCACACCGGCTGCTCCGAGGCAGCGATTCTTATACTCTTTAATTTGCCTGCGGCAGAGTCCCTTTGTTTCTTTCTGAGTTCTTCATATTCAAATTGGTTTCATTCTTAGGTTTGGGCTGCACAAAGCCTTCATCTGGGAATGGAATAATACACTTCCCCGATTCCCAGAATCTGGCATTCAGATGGAAGGTGTTGATGGCCCTGGTCCTCTCAGGTAGGTATCTTGTCTGGGCCATCATCACTTGGGCGTCACTGGGTGCAGGTCCTTGTGAATGCCCATCTCCTGTGCAGCTGAGGTTTCCTTCGCATGTAAATGTTGTGGTGCCTCTCTGCCCATGTGCCGCAGTTTCACCATCCTGAGGATAAAAATTCCTCCCTCTCCCTTCCCCTATGTACAGTAAGTTAGTTTTTAAATATATTGTAAAAATCATAGTCTTCTCTCTTAAAAGCTACAAGTCTGTTTTACCATGGTTGTACGACACCCTGAGAAGTCAGGGTGTTGATAGTAGTCCAGCCAGATGGTGGCTGCTCCTCCTGGAGCGGCGATCTGCAGAAGGGTGTAGATCCTTTCTGAAAATGCGGCGAAGGAGCAGCTGGGCCTTGGTTCCTGATTCCTCTCGGAAATCCAGCGAAGAAGGCTGTCTGTGGTCTCAGAAATGCTTGTTTTATGGTGGCAGGGATGCTTGGCTCCTCCCTCTGGGTGGAGCATCTCCCAATGGGATGATGTAACTAATCTTACCAGCCACAGTGAGTAATTCAATAGCCCATTAGCAGGCCATTGTCTTCCTGGCAGTGTCATTGTTCTTGAAAGAGATAAGAAAAACTGCCTAACCCCCAACAGATGGCAAAAATAGAATACATGCTTATTTTACAAGCCAGGACAATTACTAACTATATCTCTAACATGTTGTACTATATAGTTTATTTAGTTGTTTAGTTGTTGGGTGATTAAGGGTTTGCACTGACCAGTCTTTATATGGCACTGAATAGTTTGTTATATCATGTGGTTTGTTAACCCCTTCCCCTCTCACATGGTTCCTCCGTCTTCCACCCCTCTCCCCAATACCCCCTGGTGGTCTCTTGCCTGGTCAGTCCCTCACCTCACCCCTCCTCACTTGTATCCCATTGGCTTCCTCCGCCCCCATTCCCTGGGTATAAAGTCCCCCCACCGAGAGAAGGGGGCGGGTCTCTTTCTCCCATGTGTTTGTCGGCCTGGTGTGTCTCTTAGAATAAAGAGAGAACATTTCCCATGTAGAGAAGAGTGCTTCTCAATCTTTTGCTTTCCTCTATGTAAGATTGTGCGGACTAGGGTCAATAGCTAGCCGGATTGGACCCAAACAGCCCGTCTGTGACACGATTTTACAGGGAATGTGAAGCTCGAGGAAAGCCTGGGCTGCACTGACTATGAAATGGTGGATATTGTGATCCTTGGGGCAATGACAAGGGTGAGAAGCAAGCCCACTGTGCTCAACTTCAGGATTTGGACTCACATGGGATCTGCTTGAGTCTTATGGGATAATACCCTCGAGGGAAGAGGATCCCAAGAAAGCTGTAGCAATGGGGAACGAAGCGACATGGACCCCCTTATGCATCCGAAAGAGAGCCTTTTATTACAGAAATACAGAAATTGCAACATTTTTATACCTTCAATCTCCACCTGACATCACTGAAACCAAACTGAGGCCTAACAAATCTCAATGGAAAGAGGGCACCCATTGGCTGGCTCAGCTGCAGTGCTGCTGTCCACGCGTCCTGTCATCCAATCAGCTTCCTGCTCATGCACTGTCCACGCGTTCCTCCAGCCAATCACAGCCTCACTTCCAGCTGCCATTCAGCTGACTCTCTCCTTACTCACAGGCCTCTCACCCCTCAACCGACTTTCCTACAGGGCCTGCTGGTGAGCATGAGCCTTAGCAACCTTAACAGTTATAACCCGATATCCTACATCAAACTGGTTGATATTAAAGGATCCGCTCTTCTGAACTCAGCAGCAATGCATCCC